CCCTAAACCCTAAACCCTAAACCCTAAACCCTAAACCCTAAACCCTAAACCCTAAACCCTAAACCCTAAACCCTAAACCCTAGACCCTAAACCCTAAGCCCGAAACCCTAAACCCTAGACCCTAAACTCATAGTCCTACGAATGTCCAGCTGTTTTATTTTGAGCGCATCAGGGCACCCATGTGAATGAACGAATCAAAGATTGAGGCAGGATGTATTTTTTCATCGTAATTTCGAAAAGAAATTTTGGCTCCGCCTTCTTTTTGCGATCGCATTCTCGCCAAATGCATGGGACAGAATCGGCGATAACACAACTCTCTCTCTTCAACATTGACCGTGACATTCGTATTTTCACTGTCATACGAGCTGTTCATGTGCTTAGCTGTTCATGTGCTTATCTTTAGGCATCTTCCCGCGATTCTCACCCACAGCTCACAGCTCTGTCGAGGTAAATCAGAGTGTTTGATGATAGATCATGTGTTTTGTGCACGGAGCTGTGTGCTTTGGCCAGTGTCATTCACACAAACAGACGTATAGAGACAAACAGGGAGTCTCTGATTCGTCCCTCACTCTTAACTAACATACACAAACAGTCCGCTTAGCATGGGCAGAACCGTCTGTCTTGCAGCTTGTACGTTCATCTACTCCCCGCCCGACTGCGGTCCGAGTTCGAGTCGCTGGCTGAAGCCATACTGCTGCCACACCGCTCGACGCACACATGACGGTAACTAACGGGCGGCGCGAACGGCCTCATCTGTCTACCATACGCACACAGATAGACAGGCTTACGTGTTTGTGTGCTGCTTGAATGTGACCTACGTGTGTCTCCACTGCCTGGCGACACTATTTACAAATTGCTCGGATCACCTCACTCTGGTCCATCCACCACATGCACAACAGAAAGATAACAGCTACTCCATCGATGCAGCCGGTCGGCGTACCACTGGTGTGAGCGTCAAGCCCATGTCAAGCGACTTCATGGCTGCCGTCACCTTGGACACATCGAGGGGCTGCAACCGCTCGACAGACGGCAGCAGACAGGTGTAGCCGGTGTCATTCTCATTGTAGATGACGCGGAATCGGGGCGATGCGTCCTTGTCCGTGCAGCCGGCTTGGAACCGAACAAAGAAGACACACAGCTTGATGCATCCTGTATGTGGGCGGGCGGCATTTCGCTGCTCACCACTTGCACGAGGAATTCTCTGATGTCCATGGCCTCTTCGCAGGCCTAATGAATGGGACACGAACACATACAGAAAGGCACACAGCCGGTCATGTGTTAACATGTGTCAGTGCATCAATACGACTGACCACATCGTATGTCTCTAAGGCCGCTTGGCCCCATGGCGGCTGCATTAATCGGGGCCGCTTCGCTGGGGGCTGGGAGGGCTCATGAGAGGGCCGGATTGTATCATCGATGAGCGCCACAATCACGCGGACCACATCATGATTAACGACAGAGAGCGGCACGAGCACAATGAGTACGTCTGAACATTGAGTGGCACACACCTGTATGTAGTGGACAGCCTTTGCTGCTTGTAGTGCTCGGGCTGATACATAGATGCCACACATTGATGAGTGTCCACACAGAGGGACCGGTCGCTCAGACGTCCTCTATCCCTCCTTGCCTCTCGTGCACAGACAGCATCACCAGACCAGGTGTATCGGCTCAGTGCGCCTGCACTGCAGCCAGAACCAATAGGCCCACAAGCGATATGTGTCGTCATATGGCCCTACACACAGCACAGGGCAACATACACACGCGCGTTGTGCTCATGAATGGGTACGCTGTCTTGAAGTGCATATCGATGGCGTCAGCGAGTCTCAGCGCAACTATCCGTGGCGGCGAACGTGCCGTGTCGTCTGCTCGCCTGCCGTCCCCATCGCACAGCCATCTCGACAGCCACTCCTCGCACGCCAGTCTCCTCTGATTAAACCACGGAACATCTCTGCGTGGACGCGTGGATCGCTGGGTTTGTAATTGCCTCACATGTCCATATCTGTCCTTTCCATTGCGTCGGACCGCATCATCGGCTGGCCGGACAGATCATCCTCACACACATGAGACCGACCAGACCACCTGCACAACCACATCATGCATTGCGCAGTACAACCGACGCAAACGCATGTGATGGCACGTGTGTCTTGACTGACCGCTGCGTATCACACACCTCATACACAGAGTCGCTGGAGATGAACACATACAGCTGGAAGCAGCCCTCCAGCGCCCACAGGGAGCAGTCGATGTCAAGCGGACTGAAAGCGGAGAAGTCTGCTACTGAATGACACCAGCCAGCAACAGCAGCAACACGTCTACGGGTCGGTGGATGTGTGTAATGTCGATGAACCCACCGGCAGTCCACTTCCATTTTGCTCCGTTTGCCTGTCGCTTCTTTGCAGTGATGTCGATGAGGCCTTTACACGCGGCACAGCTCCAAAGGGATCTGGACACAACGCACGAACAGACCGTCAAGCGTCAAGACCTCATTCCTTTCATCTGATTTATCCATGCCGCCCGTACCGTCAGTGCCGAAGTACTTATTGCCTCAGTTGACCATCACAATGTCATGCGCGTCATCCCTCTGCACCAAGCACTCTGCACACAAACAACACAGAACGGATGTATCAGACAGGCGGATCTTGCCTGTGAGTCACACCGACGCCATATGACAGAAACGTGTATGCCATTGCAAATCACGACTTAAAGCTTTCTGGCTGCTTAAAGCTCGCATTTCGCGCGGAGCCGTGGACAATTGATAATCATTGATTCACAGTGAGTGACAGCGTCTGGGAAGCGATGACTCATCGTGCACCTTTTGTGTCCATGTTATGTCTGTTTTGGCTTTGACTGATGCAGATAGATAGCCGCCTGAGCGCTCAGTCCGCCGACAGCCCGACGGAAGACGGCAAGGGCCCCGACAACAGAGGAGATGCCAGCCAGCAGGAGCAACCACAGCAGCGGCACGTGTGTATGAGTGCCCACCCGGCAGAGGAGGGATCTGGTGGGAGTGGGAGCGGCTGCGGCCCTGGTGACCGTCCACATAGTGCGTCGTCTGCCCCGCTACCAGCATCTCCCCACGCAGAGCGCACACCTGCGACTGACAGCAACGAAGCTAACTCTCAACAGCTAATGGAGAAATTGCCTGCGGGCTCGCCATCCAACGGGATCCAGCGCTCGCCGATCTCTAGTGAGGCCATCGACAAACATCTGAATGAGCAGCAGCCATCCGTCCCCCAGGATCAGGCCATGCAGCTCATCCCCATCGCCTCACCAGCAGCCGACACATCAGTTGTGGGCGGCGTCCCCATGCAGCAGCAGGAAGGGGGCTCGGCGCTGATGGGAGGCGCGGGGCACGGCGGTGGGTCCGGAGAGGGTGACATCACTGCGGACGCCATATCGGTACGGACACACATGCACAGACAGACAGACAGACAGACAGACAGACACGAGGGAGGTGTGTGCATATGTGAGATTTGTGGGTGTGATTGTCAGGACGGCAGCCGTCAGCCCTCCACTGCTTTCGGCATCTCCGTATGCGCCCAGCAGCAGCAGGTCGCTAACCTCACTCGCTCCATCGACCCGTCGCCAGTCGCCGCAGCAGCTGCATCAGTGGGTCGCCAACCAGCGGGTCCCTCTCGCCCATTTCCTCCCTCCACCCTCTCCCCCATCACACCCGACCAGCAGCACGCGGCCGGCTCGCGGCAGGGCCAGACGTCGGGCTCTGATGCTGTTGCCATCATGTCCCTCGCTGCTGATGCCCTGCTGGCTCATGACATCGACCCCTTCGTGAGCCACTTGGAGAAACTCACGACCTCGCTGCCGGATAACGACCCGGCGGTCAAGGGACTCGTGGGTTCGCTGGCCAAGAAGGACAAGGCTCACCGAGAGCGGGGGTCTTTGGGCCTCGTCAGCTGCATTGTCGCCATTTTCAATGACAGCAGCAAGCCATCACATCAGTCTGCGGCAGCCCGCTTTCTTAAGCGGCTCAATGAGGCTGGGTATCCCTTTGGCGTTGAGTGGCTGCCGCTGTTTGGTGTCTTGGTGGAGGGGACCGTGGGGAGGCTGACACTATCGGACGAGGTCTTCGGGGTAGATGTGGTAGTGATTCTCACCAGCAGACTTCAAGGTGCCGGCAAAAGTTGCTGTCATCTTTCCACGTATCTGTGTGTCTTCGGTGCGTCGTTCAGCAACGGCTAAGGATGTGGGGGCGTTTCAGCAGCATTGTTCTGCCACATTGATGCGCTCGTCGAGACACTGGTCACCAGCACTGATCAAGCGGCTATGTTGAGGGCATCGCGGCTAGTAGGCATCATCTGCGCACACGCCCGCCGCGGCTCCCCCTCTGAGCCAGGTGTGGGACACGTGGATGCCGAGAGAGCTCGTTGGTTCGTAAGATTAGTACTGCGTGTGTGGGTATGCGTGTGGATGCAGGTGTGTTGGCGTCTATATGCCGTGGTGTGTCAGCGAGCCCCGCTGCCCTGGGCAAGATAGCCACAATGCTGAAGGACCACGCCGCCTGTGAGTGGCCGGATTTGATCGTCTTGCTCTGTCTAAACGTGCCAGTGGCAATGGCTGGTGAGCAATGGTGCATGGTCCATGCCGCTTATTGATGTCTTGTGTGCGCATGTCTTTCCTCAGAATGTGGCTACTGCGAGCGTGTTGCGCATGCGGGCTTCCTCTCGGCAGCTGTGAGCATCCTGCAGAGCAGCAGATTTGCCAACGATGCAAGCCATGGACGATATATCTACCGATCTATCGTATCGAAATCCATCTATCTGATCGATCTGCTTATCGATAGAGAGACGGTCAGTCAGCCAACACATCAATGTATACGACATGTGTGTATGGAGACTCAGTAATCCTGTCTTCACTTGTCTTCAGTATGCTTCGTGTGAGGGTCTGGCCGAGCTCATGTGCTCCCTGCTGTCGAGGGCTGTGAGGCTGGGCGTTTCACAACCTGCAGCCTTCGCTAGTGGCGGCAACGACGTCAGAATGATGCTGGGCGTCCTGGACAGCCTTGCCCGGTGCGTCTGTCCTTCGTGTCTTGAGTGCACCGAGTGAATTGTCTTCATGTGTGCAGCTATTGGGATCGGCAGGTGACGAGTGGCAAGAGCAAAGACAACCCGATAGTCGAACGGATTCTGCAGGTCCGGAAGGTCAAAAGATGGCCGAATCCGCGGCGACATCGATGTGTGTGTCTCTTGCTGTGAGTGACGCCCTTCATTTGCAGGTGAACATCCATGCCCTGTCTGGGCCGCCCACGGCGGCGTCACAAGACAGCCTCATACAGGAGGTGAGTGAAGTGTCAAAAACACACAAACCCACAAACTTGTACACCTGTGTGCACCTATGGCTGCAGGTTTTGGATTTCTTCGCCAAGTTTCGCCATCGCAAGGTCTGCCGCACTCCCGTGCAACGATCAATCACTGCCTGCCACTGTGTGTGTGTGTGTGTTCTTTGAAGCAGCTGGCGATCGATCGGTGGGCCTCATCGTACCACGACCCGCAGAGAGAGGCTGCACGACAGGAGAAGAAGCAGGTGGGGGGCGACCATATACGATCGACCCCTCACATCTCTTCTGCGTGTCTATCAGAATTGCATGGTGCGTTGTTGGGTGGACAAGCGAGTCCTCCACACCATCTACCAGCTTCCTGGGCCGTCGCACTTCGCTGTCGCACAAGTCGCTATGCTGGCGGTCTCATGTCGAAGTCTGCTAGACGCGTAAACAGTCATTCACACACAGACAGACGAACCTGCACTCCATGACCACTTCGTGCTGGCTGGGTTTAGGCTGTGTCCCGTCCGTTCGACTGGCTGCATCTCATCGTGTGCCAATCGCGAGCTGCTGGCGCCAGATGCATCGATCACAGTGAGCAAGAAAAATCGGCTGGCAGCGGCACTGGCCAGGTAGGTTGATGTAAAGAGATGATGGACAGCAGTTCACTTGTGTCCACGGCTTGATTCTTGCTGTCAGGTATTCACCCGACATGATGTTGGGCTTGTCGATCCACTGGGAGTGGTCGCCGACCTCCGATGACATCAGCGACCTCATCGGCTTCCTCCAGAGGGCCGACAGACTCATGACGCTCAGGCTGATCGGTAAGCCGGTCACAAGAGAACACGAAGGTTGCCGGTAAATGTCAAGGTGTGTGTGCCGCTCAGGTGTGGATTTGACTCAGTTGCCTGATGACGAGTGCGCCCAACTCGCCGACGCCATCGGCCGCCTGCCCTCTCTTCTTGGGCTATTCATGCTTAATGCCAATATGAGCCCTGCCTTCGCCGACCGGCTGGCCACTCTGCTCAAGGACCAGCCAGAAGGAGACGGCAAAGGCAGCATTAGTGAGAGTGCATCCCCGCCGCCATCGTCACCATCGCGTGACATCACCCGCGTCCCCAGCACAACGTCGGCAGCCGTGCCGGCGGACCCCAAGGAGGATCGTCAGGAGACGACAGAAGAGAGGCAGACGGCCGACTCGGGGGACGACAAGAAAGAAAGACCCTTCACGACACTCAGGTATGGGCGCAGGACAGGGAATGAGACAACGGAGCATTCACTGAGGCCGTTGGGTGTGTACAGAAGGATGACAATCTCTCTATGTCGAATGTCGTTCAATTCTTGTCTAAACTTGCTCGAGGTGCGTCGAAAAAACAAGGAGATTCCATCGTATTGATTAGGGCTTGTGTACGTCGTATCGCCTGCAGGGCCTCTGTGGCAGGTCGTTTGAAGCTCTGAGTCTGTCAAATATCGCGTTGACCAAGTCTGAGGGCGAGGCCGATCGGTACTACCAATTGCAGGTGAAAAGTACTGGCCACAGCGAGGTGGCCTTGATGACACCCTTTTCTGGTGGCATCTCTGATGTCGGCAGAGAGTGCTGGAGCGCCTCTTCGGCACCATTGCGTGCGAGGGGATCTGTCTATCGTTTCGTTCGGTTGGCAAGTTGACGCTGCCCGTCGTTGAGGACATAGTCATGTCGGCCGCGACGGCTGGCCTCAAGACCAACCCCAATGGACGCACTCTCAAGTAAGTAGGCCACATACCCCCGTGTGTCTGCGAGTGTGCATGTAGCTGACGGTGTGTCCCTCCAGGTTCCTGGATCTGCCTGCCACCGCAAACGCCACTGAGTCCTTCCTCCAATTCGCATTGAAGGACCTCACACCATCGTACCTCACTCTGCGATGTACGAAGCCACCAAGCAACCGTCGCGTACATGAATCTGCTCCATTTGTTTGTTCCTCAGCACGGGTTGCGCTGGGCAATTTCTTCAGCCAGCAGTTCCTGTCGAGTGGCGACTTTGCGTCATTGGTGCATGGGGCCGTCACCAAGGGAGATGATGAGCGTGAGAGTGAGCTGCAAGCCGCGCGTGCTGTCAAGGAGCGTCAGTGGGCCGCCGATGACGCTCGCCTGCCGCCGGCGGCTGACGCAGCTGAGGAGGACCGACGGATGGCGGCACGGCAGAGGAGGGAGGAGGGGCTGCAGGCCAAGGAGAAAGAGGCCAGACGCAAACCGCCATTCGTCCTGAGCCTCAGTGGTACGTGAATGTGCAGAGAGGGCATGGCAGCTCGTGCGACTACTTGGTTGTGCCTGTGGACCGATGCAGATGTGCCTTTCGCCAATGTCGCCACCCGTCCTGTCGCCGCCAATGTCGCCAGCCCTCGGTCTCCTGTCGCGGTCATTAATGTTATCGAAGCCACCAACAAGAAATACGCCTACGAACAGCCAGTCATCTTCACACGTGAGCCAACTAGCGAAGCTACCGGCAGCACTTCCCCGTGCCCACCTGCCTCCTATCTGTACAGATTCCAAATTCGTCCCTGATGAGCGATATGTCGGCCCCTCGTCGCGTCTCCCCCAGCACCTGTGTGGGGTCTTGGCGAGCTCCTACGACGCTCTCGCCCCCTCCACGTGGTGGAACACCCTCGCCAGCAAGGCCCCCTTATTGCTGCTGCTGTACGTCAGCAGCCTATTCTGCTACAAGCGCGGCCCCGATTCGACATTTGGCTTCCAGAACCCCTTCTCTGTGACGGCGGCTGACCTGCCCAAGTATCACGAGTGTGTAGATGAACTCGAGGCTCTCAAGGACGCCCCTGCCATCAACAGCATCACTCAAGAGCATGTCGATACAGCACACTCTGACCTTGCTGGTAAGTTAGGGACCGGTGGGGCCGGAATCCATCTAGAGTGGATGCATAGCCTCGTTGCTGTGGTTCGTTCTGCAGAGGCCGTCAGGTTGGTGCCCCGACGAGATGCATTACAGGCTTTGAATGAGATGCTCAAGCGGTTTGCCGTCATTGCGAAGCTGCAGGCGACGCTTCAGACCAAGCTCAACGACCTCGAGGCCCAGAGGAACAAGCCGGCCGCCGCCGATGCCGACATCGACAGCATCGACAGCCAGATCACCAGCCTCACGGAGCAGATCGGCAAGAACACCGCGGCCAAAGCCACGCTGGTCGAGGAGATCGGTAGGCATACCGACACCAAAGACATACGAACACACCGCTGGCCGCCTTTCCTTCGCTTCATTCAGCTCGTCTCGAGAAAGCCGTACCCGAGAAGCTTCGCAAGGCCATGAGAGACGTGCTTGATGAGTCGCAGGGGGTGTCCGGCTGCGCCGAGTCGCATCAGGAGGACCCCCATACCAGCAAGGGCCGGCAGCCGACCCGCTTCGAGAGCAAGCGCGACGAGCTGCGCCACAAACACGACATCATGCAGCAGAACGCCGCCCGCGAGGCCGAGAAAAACAAGAAGAGAGGCGACCAGCCGCCCAAGGACAACGCGGTCGCACAGGAGCGGCTGAAGCGAGCGGAGGCGCGTGCTCGGGCGGCGCGCAAGGCTCTGGGGGTGGACTTCTCCAGCGATGAGGACCAGCCGCAGCATGGTGTGGGCGGGCAGCAGGGGGGCGAGGGCGGCAAGAAGGCCAAGAAGAAGAAGCGACACAAGAACAAGACACCATCAGCTGCCCCTGCTGCATCGGCTTGCCCCCTCCCATCCGCCGCCGCAGCAACGCCATCCATTGCGTCAGACGGCAGCCCATGTGTGCGGGAGGGAAGGGGAGAGGCGGATGGTGACCTCGAGCTCGGTCACAGCGAGCCGTCAAGTAGCCCTCTCTGTGGTGGTGCTGCTGGCGTGAGTGCTGCCAGTCGACCACTGCTTCCTTCGATGGCTCCTTCCATGCCCCCGCTGCCCGACATCGGGTGTGACTCTGACGACCTGGCCTTGATGGTGTGAGTGAGAATGGCGGCGGTGGTGATGGTCTGGCAGGCCAGAGAGCTGGACAGACCGATGCAGGAGCCGCAAGGGTCGTTGACGACGGTCGGGTGGGTGGTGGAGAGGAGGCCGAGGCGATGCGGGCCAGGTGAGGCGATTGATGGGGTGTGGTCACACACTGACGGTGTATCTGGTCTTGTCAGGGTTGCTGAGCTCGAGGCTGAGTTGAGGCGCAGAGACCGGCAACGCCAGGCGACGAGGTATGAGAGAAGAACGAAGTGGGGAGGGATTCACCACCGTGGTTGTGGTGTCGGACTATAGGCGTGAGTCGATGGAGAGGGAAGCCGCCCTCCAGCAACAGCTTCATGCGGCCCGTCAGGAGAGCGAGCGGTACACATGCATCGGTGCACCCATCCAACTGACTGTTCCCTCCTTTGTTGCTGTCTGCAGTTTGCGTGAGGCTCAGATGGCTGGTGAGCAGACCGTCGTCGACACTCTGGCGGCCAACGAGCGGCTCCAGGCCGATATGCGTCAAGCCAATGAGGCCCACCGCCAGCAGCTCAGCCAACAACATCAGCGGCTCACCAGGTATCTACACACACAGGAGACAAACAAGGTCATATGCACCTCAACCTCACTCTCTGTGTACGTGTTTGCAGTGACGTCGATCGCGAGAGGTCTCTCCGGCAGCAGAAGGAGGCCGAGATGGGGCAGCTCCAACACCACCTTGACAGATACAAGAGGTCAGTCAGCCACACAGCACTCTCACCCTCCACAATACAAGGAATGGGACTCACTCTGTGTGACGTGTCAGGGCTGCCGCCGGGAGGGAGGAGTCGCTCAGACAGGAGGTCACATCGCTCAGAGAGGAGAATGCCAGGTGCACACACGACAGGCGGCCGACGCACACTTTGACAAGACGCCATGACATTCATTTCTCTCTGTGTCTATCAGTGTTGGCGAGGCCAATCGTGCGCTGCAGGCCGACATAGATCAGCTACGCAGCAACCAGATCGACAGGTCAGTACCCAATCACGCAAAGGCGGGCAACACCAATGCATGCCCTTTGATGTGATGATGTGTGTCATTCAGGTTGACCGAGACCTTCAATGGCCTGACCACCGCTGACGTCTTCAGCGGCTTCGCTATGCAGCTGGTCGACCGTCAGATGGCCTTCACCACATCAGAGCTGCCCCAGCTGCAGTCGCTCATCGTCAAGGCTCAGCAGGCCGCCCAGCAGAAGATGCAGGCCGAGCTGCGTCAGGAGATGCAGCAGAGCAACCGGAGGGCCCGAGAGGAGGCCACCGACTGCCAAGTGTGCCAGGAGAGGGAGCGATCGGTGGTGCTGCGGCCGTGCAACCACTTCTGCATCTGCCGGCAATGTGCACAGACCCTGCAGCCGGCTGTGTCGTCAGGCCTTCACCGGCTGGAGCCCCGCCATATTCTCGTGACGGCAGATCGACCCTCTGTGGGCGCTATGGTGGGGCTGTGGCGCGGTCGAATACATGTGTTGACGGCCGGCAGGATATCATGGCAGACAGACGGCAGGGGGATGGGGCCAGTGGTTGATTTAAGACTTTGTTGCTGTGTGTCCGTGTCAGCCAGAGGCCGCCTTTATGGCTTTTTGACCCCTCACTGCATAGCATAGCTTCCTCATTGATATCGACTACCTGCCCGCCTCGCTGTCTGACTGTGTGTTCAACCGACCGACGCTATCATGGCAGAGTTGTGTTGTGTGATGTGTGTGTGTGTTCATGGAGAAGAGCTTTTATGGCCTTTCCTCCACGCCTCACTCACCATATTGTATTGCATTCCATTAATGGGTCTCGCTCCTAGCTTTATGTGTATATATCCAACAGCTGGCTCGCTGCCTAGGTATGGTGCTGGTGTGTGCGGGATCGATGTGTACAGACATACATACCTCTATTACATATATACTCATCTATTCATCCATCTGACTTGGGGGTTGCCTGGCTTCGGTGCCTGGTGCGTCTGTGTGCATATCGGCAGAGACCTCTACAGGGACCAACCAAGCCGCGCATCAAGCAATCAGAGTGTCTTAACAGACATATCAACACGCCCCAGACAATAGTTCTCTATCACGGCAGCAGCACACGGCAGCAACACGGAGATGGCAAAGGCGGCCAGCATGGCGAGCGGCCGGTCAGAAATCAGTACCGCCAGAGGGAGGGGCAGAGTACATCGCTGCGCTTCACCGTGGCAGCTAGTGGTCTGTTTGGTGACAACCAGGCTGCTTAAAGAACATCAAGAGCCACCAAGCATTCAAGCTCAAGACGCGATAAGTACCAGCAGGTCCGATTGTCGCAAGAATCGATTGTCAAGACACATATGAATGAAAGACGAGAGCAGAAAGCAATCAAAACAGGCCAAATACAGATATAAAATGCAGGCAGCGATAACTCGCGATCTCTCTCAGGTGCGCAAGAAGCAGACCAAACCACTCAAATCACACATCTGCACAACACAAGACAATACACGCACGCTGGCTCCCCTCCGAAGCCCTCGCCCCCCCAATCCTTCAACGAGACAGACGCGACGGCCGTGGCAGAGACTAGTAGAAACTGTGAGTACATACTGTGTGGTCCCCCTCTCTATCGCTTGATCACTCCAGGCGCAGCTTCTTGCTCATGCGGACCCACTCAGGGCCGCATCAGCTGCAGCTGCAGCTGCCGATGAGGCCCCACCACCAGACCCACCACCACCACCACCAGCAGCAGCGGCAGCGGCACTGGAGGCTGGCATGCCCAGGTTGAAGTTGGGTGTGTTGTTGACGGGGCCGCCGGTGAGGAGCGAGTGCCCGTTGAGGCCGCCGATGGAGTGGGGCGACATGCACACCCCCATACTGCCCAACTCCTCACGAGCCGACGTCGGCCTAAACACATACATACAATGAATGAGACAACCAACCAGACAGACAGACAGACAGAGGGAAATGAGGGTGGGATATCCGTCCATCGAGTGTGGGTGTGGTGTGTGCGACATATCTTCTGATGTCTACCTACCCAGACGGGTGGAGCGCCAAAGTGACCCAACTCAGATGCTGGAGGGAGGGACTGCCGCGACTGCTGCACACACACACACACACACAGAGAGAGAGAGAGAGATGCATGAGACTGAGACATATACATACACACAATACACACACACACACACAATACACACACAGCCTGAATGGCAGAACCAGAAGCGTGTACATGGGCAACCCGTGAGAACGTCAGTTCCGCCGATGAGGATCAGCAGCTCGTGTTGGACGCCTTCTCGCGACACATCCACTCCCGTGTTTTTCTCCCCCTAATGACTCAACACCAAATACGTACCCCATTGAATAAAGCAAAGTCTACTTTACCCTTGGCTTGCAGATTTTGTCGATCTCGTCGATTACGTCGGGCGGCTTCTTTGATCTCGGGGGGGCCGCAAGTGGTCGTGGACGATCCTGATGTCACAGAAAGTAGACAAAGCAGAGCAAAATACCTGCACGAGAGAGGCGATGCTCTTTCTGACGGACGGCGTTGCCCAGCGCCTCGATGATGATTGGCATGTCCTGTGAGAGCACACACACAAACACAGGTGCACAAACAAAGAGGGAAAGACCAAATGTCTCCGGCCATGAACTCGTTTCGTCTTTCCCACCTGCTTTGGTACTGCCTTCATCGTCTTTGTTGCCGTGTCTCTAGTCACGTCATCTATGATCTCGCTTACACTCCGGCCGACATATCCAGCTCTTGTATATTGTGTGGCGTCGGCGATGATGAATGGAGCTTGGACTATATTAGCGATGCAACGGCACAGCTGCATCCAAAGCAAGAGACAAAAGAGAAGCCACTTGTAATGCGAAGTGCCAGCAGACTTCTTACCTCAGTCTTGCCACTTCCCGTCGGCCTCTTCGTTAGTACGTCGATGGACGACTCCTCTGTGAGATCGTCAGGGTCTTCCTCTTGCTCAAAACACCATCGGTTTCCTGCGAACGCCACAAAGGGGACGCAAGCAGCCATTGCAGTGCTTTGTGTCTTTCTCGGCATACGTATCATGGTGACGAGGGCTTCCTTGGCGTCCAGTTGTCCGATGACGTACTGGTCAAGAAAGGAAACCATCTCGTGAGGCGTTTTCACCTTTTTCGCGCTGAAGGCTTCGGTTGCCACTGTCACAGGACGTTTGGCCTCCTTCTCCAGCCTGAATCCATACAATCAGGGAACGACAGACAATTTGACGCATGTACTTCTCTGTGCGTGTCTTGATTGAAGAAGCGGTGCTCACTTCTCTATCTTCTGTCTTTGGCCCGCGACGATGCTGAAAGAGAGAAGAAACACACAATGACTCAACAACTCAGATTGAAGCTCCGGCTCATGCGCAGTTTTACGCACCTCTGCAGCTCCTCGAGCTCACTTTCCTCCTCTTGCATTCATCCGTCACCTGCGTGTGCGTGCCCTTTGTGCTGGCACGCGCCAGATGCCGCAGTGCTCCCTGGACCTCGCCATACGCATTTTGGCACGCCTCCTCGATTGCCTCGATTGCTGATCTTCGTGAATAGGCCAAACTGATCAGTCGGAGGTCCTCGAAACTCCACGATGATCCCTGGGCCATCTGCTGCAGGACCCTTTGAAATCTGATGCTGACGAAGGAGAGGGGCAGGGCCCAAGATGGGCAGGGAGAACGCTGAATGGGCGAAACACACCACAAGAGCGTTCTCACTTCGACGCAGAAGAGTAAGAAACGAGGGCGAAGTGAGAAGAACGATGAGAACGGAGAAGAACTGGCACGACGATTCGGTTCTTGAATCGGAGGCGGCCAAGATCGCGAATCTCGCCGCGATTCTCGCCGCAAGCTTAACGGTTTTTCCTTCGGTTTGGGGTAGGGGTTCGCTTTCCGCTGCTTCCTCGGCAGCGTCAACTAATGCTAACATGCACGCAACTTGAAATTCATTGCGGTTGTTGGACATCGCATTTAAAAGCTCGCGCCTCACGGCTAAGCGCGCAAGTAGCCTCTTCCCCATTTTCTCTTTCCCCTCTTCCTCGACAACAGTGTATGTGCTGCTGAGTGCAGGAAGGGTTTCGAGCAGACAGAGAGAGTCAGTTGTTATTTCTCACTCTCTTTGGTCCTCTGGGAGTGAGCCGGTTGCGGGGTGAGGCCTTCTGGGAAAGTTGGGTTGCTGAGTGAGCTCGTCGCTGGCAGGGCTTGCTATTTTTCCTTCACAGGTGAGTCTGTGCTGGTTTGCCATTGCCATGCATTGTGTGTGTGTGCATATGTCGGCAGAGAGATGGGGAATCGGCAGTCGAGACGACAAAGGGGAAGGCAAAAGGTACGCACCTTAAACATTCATTCATCGTTGACACTGACTGACAGACAGACAGACAGACAAGGGCTTCAACATATGAGTGGGTATGCGAGTGTGTCATCCATGTGTGTCTGTCTGTCCATGTCAGGCTTTGACGGTCAAGGAGGGCGATGGGGGGTCGTCTGCTCTGTCGGTCGACAAGAGCGGCAAGGGGGAGGGATTCTCAAGGTAACCACGCAGCCGTCCATTCTCTCACTCACTCAGCGTTGATGAATGGATGTGTCAATCTATGGATTGATTCATCGCTGGCTACACTACACGCAGGTCGAATTTCATCCTTTCCAATAGCGGCATATTGACCAATGTACGCGCCGCACGATATACATACAAATCGACACACATGCGAATGCATGTGTTATTTTTGGCACTCTGAGTGAACGCCTGTGTGTGTGTGTGTGGTTGTGCAGGTGTATGATTTGGAGACCAAGGTCCGTCCACAAGGCACCACGTGTGCTGTGCTGCTGGATGCTCGTATGTTCACTCATCTGTGGTGTTTATGTTGGTGTAGAAATTGGGACAAGGCACGTATGGGAGCGTGTGCAAGGCGGTATGAACGCTAGAGAGGCGGGCGACGCAAGGAAATGCCACCCATGCACACATGGCGTACGTCTGTGCAGGTCAACAAGGCCACCGGTGCGATACGGGCAGTCAAGACCATCTCAAAATGCCAAGTACAGACGCGTGGATGGATGGATGGATGGATGTGTGCGTGTGTGTTCTGAGTGCAGGTGAAGAACATCGACAGGTTTCGGCAGGAGATCGCCATCATGAAGGTCCTGGACCACCCCAACATCATCAAGCTATACGAGACTTTTGAGGACCACAGGAATATATACCTAGTCATGGAGTCAGCGAGAGCACACACACAAAGCAGACAGACAGACAGACAAAGCATTGACACACGTCGGTTAGCGTTTTTTGCCTGCCTATTCCCGTGTTCCCGTGTTTCTGTGTTTTAGGTTGTGTACTGGGGGCGAGCTGTTTGATCGCATTATCGACGAGGGGCATTTCACAGAGAAGGACGCCGCACAGGTAAACGGACGGATGCACTCACCAAACAAACAAAACACAGCCAGCCATACACACGTCAAGTCACGTCACAGCGATATATATGTTTTTGTGCATGTGCCTGTGTGTGTGTGCATTATGTATGATGCAGTTGATGAAGCAGATGTTCTCTGCCATCCACTACTGCCACTCCAACTGCATCATGCACAGAGACCTCAAACCTGAGAACTTCCTGTTCTTGTCAAAGGTCGGTGGGTCGCTGAGTGGATGGGGAGGGAGGGAGGGAGGGAGGGAGGAGAGAGATGCGCACAGCATCCACACACGCACCTTACACCACATCTGTGTGTCTGTCTGTCTGTCTGTCTGACTGTGTGTGTGCGTATGTGCAGGACCACCACAGTCCGTTGAAGATCATCGACTTCGGCCTCTCGTGTCGATTCAAGACCAATGAGACCAAAAGCACCAAGGCGGGCACGGTAATAAAGGGCACATACATACGTACATACACATATGTCTGGATGTAAAAGTATGTGTGTACGCATGCATGTGTACGTGGCTTGGTTCCTTCCTTGGTGCGTGCAGCCGTATTACGTGGCGCCGCAGGTGCTGGCGGGCAAGTATGACGAAACATGCGATCTGTGGTGCTCACGAAACAGACATATGGAGGCAGAGGCATAGAAACATGTATGTATGTGAGAATGTATGTGTGTTGATATGTGCGCTGTGCGGTTAGGTCCTGTGGGGTCATCATGTACATCCTCTTGTGTGAGCACTGCACACATATGTGATGTAAACGCACAGAGAGAGAGAGAGATTGGGAGAGAGTTTGAGAGATTGGGAGAGAGTTTGCACAGCACACGGATGCACACGGTGCGCGTGTTGACATTACCTTCAGGTGGGTATCCCCCTTTCTACGGCGACACCGACGCAGGCACGCACCAACGCACACACGACACACACACACACGCATGGATGGATGTCTAGTGAGTGAGTCTTGTTGGCTCCCTGCGTGCCACGAATGCCTTGCTGCAGACGTGTTGGCCAAGGTGCGGCTGGGCAACTACTCGTTCAACGCGCCGGACTGGAAAAACATCAGCGAAGGTATGCTATGCTCAGACCAATGCGGAACTTATGTACATAACTTTTCCCGCAACACCGCCAGATGCGAAGGATCTGATTCGCAAGCTGCTCAAGATGCACCCCAAGGTACACACGCACACGCGAGCATGACGGATGGATGGATGGATGTGTGGGTGGGATGTATCAGGAGCGCTTCACAGCCAAGCAGGCGCTGTCCCACCCGTGGATTCAGGAGCTGGCGGCCAACTCGACCAACGCATCCCTCACACACGGCATCATGGAAAACCTGAGAGTGAGCCACACGAGCCACAAGCACCCTCCCACACAAGTGTGTGTGCATGGCTCGTGTCGGATGTATGCATGTGTGCAGAACTTCAGGGCGCAGAACAAGCTCAAGAAGGCTGCACTCACTGTCATCGCACAGCACTTGTCAGGTGGGTGCGTATGCCATGGATGGGATGGATGAACGCCACTGCTTTTGTGTGCCGTGCGTGTGTATGCCATCCTCTGCTGCAGAGGATGAGATCAACCACCTGAAGAGGATCTTCATCTCGCTTGACAAGGACAATAGCGGCACACTCACCGTGCAGGAGGTCAAGGAGGGACTGCTAAGAATGGGTATACTCACACACACACACACACACACAGAGAGAGAGAGAGAGAGAGAGAAGTGACAGTACGAGTGTCTGTCCTGTAGGTTGGAAGGACGTGCCTCAGGATCTGCAGCAGATCATGGAGGAGGTCGACAGCGATGGCTCTGGCGTCATCGACTACACTGGTGCATTGGATGGATGGATGGTCCACATACTGTTGTATGTATGTATGGCCGTCTCCCTCTCTCTGTGTGGTGCATCTCTCTGTCCATCAACCAGAGTTCATTGCGGCCACAATAGACAAGAAACTCTACCTCCAGGTACCCTCTCAATGCAATCCAATGAACGCGATAGACACAGATAGAGACATATAAATGTGTCCATCGATGCGATGCATGGGTGCACAGGAGGACGTCTGCTGGGCAGCCTTCCGGGTCTTCGATCTGGTGCGCACACACACCCCACCCATCCATTGTGCGTGAATGAGTGACTGCCTGACATGCTGTGCTGTGCTGTGCTGTCCCCTAATGGCTGACGGCAGGACGGCAACGGGCGGATATCTCAGGACGAGTTGAGGCAGGTGCTGGGCATGCAAAACGTGCACGATGCCGTCGGCCGGGCCACAATTGCCGCTGTGCTCCGCGAGGCCGACACCAACGGAGGTGTGTAGGCAGGCAGGCAGCACCTGAGCTGTCCATGGATGGACCGATGGGCGGATGCACTCGTGTTTGCTCTATCTGTGTGCTCGTGCATCAGACGGCGAAATAGACTTCGAGGAGTTTCTTGCCATGATGCGCTCGCATCAGCCCGTGACAGCGCAAGGCTCAAAGGACATGACGAGCATCAGATAGCAGGCATAGCGCGGCAGGCAGGCAGCAAGGCCGACCCATTTGCTCTCTTTTCAGGCCGGCCGGAGCTGCTGTTGCCCTCGTCGGTTGCTGTCTGTCTGTCTGTCTGTCTGTGAGTGTGTGTGTGGGTGTGAGTGCACTTTTAAGCTCTTGACAGTCTGGTTGACGGACAGAGAGTCTGTAGGCAATGTCTACATGCATTCATATGGATGGATGGATGTGTGTGTAAACACATCCGCACACGTACACGTGTTTATATCGCCCATAGCTATGAGATGATCGCTTTCTCTGTCGATATGTGTGTGTGTGTGTGTTGAGGTGGCCTACCGCCACAGACAGCCAGACAATCAGTCAGCGTGTGTCTCTTCATTCATCCGGACAGCCCCTCTTTCTTCCTCTCTTTCCTTTCTCTCTGTGCCATGCCATGCCATGCCATGCCAATGCCACCCCGGCGTGTGTCTCCCTGTGTGCACCTGATCGGCAATGCGTACATGTATGCCTCGTGCTCCGTTCGCTCGCTCGTCAACAGCCAAGTAAATCAAAAAATCAATACATCCCAGGTTTGTAATTTGACCAAAATTACTGCAGCTAGGCCTTTACATGAACAGGTGTCTCAGTTCATCTCTCAGTCGGATCAAACGCCTTGTCAGCCAGCACAGCCACAAGATTTGGAGTCGGGGGGCCTGGTGGGGGCGTCACGCTGTCCCGTTCCGATTCTTCCCTTCCCCGGGCCGGTCTGATGGCGAGAGGTCCGTCGCCAACGCTTCTCCTGATTCCTATGTGGTTTTTCCTCATTGACGAATGCGCCGGGTGGCCTCTTCCCATTGCAACGTCCCGTGCGGGTGCTGAGCTCGAGCGGCAGGGACAGCCGCTGTTTCCCGAAGCGGTCGAGGTGTTCAAGACTGTTTGCCAGCCCCAATCCGTCTATTGTGTCGTCTCGCTTGAGTCTTCGCAAACAGAGCTGGACGCCGTTGACTTCTGGAACTCTCACGGCAAGTCCAACGTGCTCCCGGATATCGACGATGACGTTTTCACCATTGATGGGGTCGAATACCAAATCAAGTACGGATCGAGGCTCTAATCGAGCTGCCTTGATCGGTCTTTATCCCTCGTCGTTCGTTTACTGCACATTTCAGGTCGGCACACGGTGCGAATGCCGTTGCATTATTTGTTGACATTGCGAAGGGTACGTTTCGGCCCGCCTGCCTGTCTGCCTTCATGTCTCCCTGCCTGTTTCTGCTGGCTTGCTGACTGACAGGCGCCATCTCTTCTCCCATCAGTATGGACACCTCACCAGGTATGCCTCCTTTCGTCTTGTGCCCTTTGCAATATTGCGCTGAATCTTTGCGCGTGCAGGAAGAACTCACGGCCAAGCTGCCTTATCCACCAAAGAAGTCATCATCAAGATGGCCATGGATGAGGAGAGGCAACGGGATATCGACGACGAGAAGGATGGTAAGCAAAGATCGGCCGCCTGCTGCAGTGCTCGAATTGCGAGACAACTCACCTCACGCAGGATACGAGACTCTCTGGCGATTGATTCACTCCAAGGGGAAAATTTACGAGCTTCCGCGAATTCCCCATTACTATCAGCCGACCAACCCTGAAGAAGCCGATGTGCTCTCAAGTAAAGGACCAAAGTCATACACGAGGTAGAGACACAAACATTTTAGCTCACATCTGACCGTCGCATGGCTAACAGAGTTTCTGATCATTGAGAGACTCCATGGCATAAGCTTTGCGGACCTCTTAGGATTTCACGCAGCCAGTGAGATCGACTGGGACACCAAGGTGCTGGTCAGAGCGCTCGACACCGGCGAAGAGAGGCGCATTGCCTTCGGGACCTTTGTCATCGCGCAGCTGTTTCAAGGCGTCCACAGTACGCTCCATATAAACGCTTCCACCCACAGTACTTGTCTCTTGCCTTGATTCAGGTCTACATCAGAGTGGCCTGCAGCATTGCGATCTCAAGAAAGGCAACGTGTTTCTCCCTACCTATCCACAAGGAGACGCCGCTCATCTGGGACCCTACCGAGCACCCATCACCGTAAGGGAGAAAAGCAAATGTGCGATAATGGTTGCCTCACATATGTGTCTCCATCCATGGCTGCACACAAGGTTTACGACGAGGAGCTGTACGTGTCCACCGAACTCAAGCCCAGCAACTTGATGCTGATCGATTTCTCACATCCAAACACGATGGCTTCTGAAGACGACTGCGGGGACATACGTGACAACGTCGCAAAGTAAGGGCCACGCTGATACAGTGGTTGCCACACACATGCCTCTGTCTGTCTCTCTGTCTGTCTCTCTGTCTGTTCTGCAGCATTGCACTCGAAATCTGCGACAGGATGTCCGGAGCCGACTCGCTCAGAAGGTCAATCTGCCGGATTGAACTGTGTTACTTTTGACTTCACATTAGTCTTTCTCTGGCGGACAGCAAGATTGCAACATTCCTCAGTTCGTGCTCTTTTCACTCATACGTCAAGAGGAAGGCTTTGAGGCTTGAGGAAGCTGAGCTGACGGACGAAAGGGTGGACATCTTTCTGGCACTCCTCGGCGGACCTGAGGAGTGGCAAAAAGGCGAGACAGACAGAAACAAAACAGACCGACGCACACATAATGTTCGCTCACAAATGTGTGCAGAGATGGGAAGGAAACTTCACACTTACAGTCTTATCTGGAGAATCATCCCACCAGAAGAGCGCCTGAGGGCGTTGCAACAATCCGATCAAGCGAAACGCGACTTCCTTGGCCGATATCCAGACAAGGCAGCAGTGGCGGAGTTTGTCGAGTGGCTGAGTGAGTGTTCCACATCAGCGCGCGAGATGAAGTTCCTGCGGGACATCAAGGAGCTTGCCCTGACTGGAGGAGAAAAGAGAGAGGCCCGCGGGGTCCGCCCTTCTCGTGAGCGGAGATCGGGTGAGGCAAGGCGCGAAAAGAGAGAGCGGTCGAGGTCTCGCTCACCCTTGCGCGCTGCACACGACATGGACGAGGGGGATTTTGGTGAGATGACGATGGACGCGAGAGCGAGAAGGCGGCTGCAGAGGGAAAGGCGACGACACGCAGAAGGGAAATGACAGATTGTGGCTGACTGAGACAAACTGAGGCATTGATTGACTGAGAGATGAAACTTCGATTAGGTGAATGGCACATATTTGAAGCAGTCTCACCTCAAAACTGATTTAAATCGTTATTCCGGCGCCCACTCTTTTGGCAGAAGCAGTGTCAAGTGCCTGAGGGCCGTGTTGTTGGCGAAGGGACAGCCAGCGAGAGGGAATAGCAGACTCCTGCCTGGTGCGTGTGTCGATTTCAAGTGTCCAAATCCCCTCCCGGTGCATATCATCGGGCGTACGCAGAAACATACATTTATATGCGTACAGGCACACGTGCACAGGTCTCTCCATCATGGCCACGTGCGTGCATCTCCGTCTCTGTCTCTGTCTCGTGTCTCAACCACCGACATGCACCGCTAAATGCAAAAGCCACCTGTCTGTCTACTTGGGAGAAAAGTTAAAACTTGCGCAGTTGATACAGACCTTTGACATACGTAGCCGCTAACCCAGCAATTCATATGAACAAATCGATAGCCTCCCGGGCCCTCCCCCCTTGGCTTCGTGTTGTGTATTGGAAGGACACAAACAAGAATCGCCCTGAGTCCAACAACGCCTAGCACCATACAGTGAAGGGGACCCTCGTGCTTCATGAGGGGTAGTCGCATCTCCTGCAGTTGGTCACCCCGTCGGTGAAGCTGTTCGATGCAATCAAAGACACACACTAATGTGCCTGAGACACGTGCCGGAGTGTTTTACAGTTTGGCTATCGTGGTGAAGTCCCCACACGTCCGGCCGATATGCTCCTGCACTTGTCCCTGCGGCCGATATACGTCCAGCGTGTCGTACATATCAGGGTCAGTGAACCTCGCCTGCAGTATCAGGTCAACGAACCTTTCAAACGTTAGGCCCAAGCCTGCACCCATCCATGAGTATGCATCCGCTATAGCCAAGCCACCTCTGCGTGTGTCCGTGACCTATGTCAACACCTGTGAGCAACTCCGACACTCCCTCGCTCTCCCAGCACAGCAAATGATTCTTGTCTGAGGGAAGACACACAGCAGGACATAGGCAGCTGCGTACTCCACTCCCATGAAGTGAACGCCGCTAGATACCTGCGAGGGCCATGAAGGCGTCAGCCGCCTGCTGGCAGGCCGGGATGCACTCCTGGAAGCTCCCGAATTCATCGATTACCTCCTCTTCGCTCCCTCCGCCAGGAGGCAGAAGGGGTACAATTGGAAGGAGAGAGCCCAAACACGGCCTGACGCGGTCGACGAACCGCTGAAAGTCTTCGCTGTGCTCCCGATAGAGAAACCCATTCATTTGACACACCTGCATGCGGGCGTACCAGACATGGGATGTGCAAAAGAGGAAAGACACTCACTCACGAATGGCTGGTCCCACCGGATTGCCTTGGAGCCTCATGTTTTTCAGCCTGGAGTTGGCCATGGCCATGGGCAGCGTCTCGATGGAGTTGTACGCCAGGTTTGCCGAGGCGAGGCAGCGCTGCGAACCAATGGGGAACCTCGCGTATGTCGCCAATCACGATATGCAGCAGCTCTAGTCGGGTCAGATGCCGCATCGAGTCGGGCAGAGCCGAGAGCTGTATGTGATAGAGTATCAAGAACCTGATTGGTGCACACACGTAATTGCAGCTGGGTGGGTGGCAGGCATTGGTTGATCTATTGATTGACCTGAGGTATTTCTGTCAGCCGACAGAGACGGGTATCCCTTTGAGCTGCTCCTGAGTTGCTTTGATCTCGTCGACAAACGCCGATATTCCTTGCGACATTCCGGCAGGACGGCTGTATGTCAAATCGGCTCCCTGCAGGAATATATCAGTGCCTATTTGTGTGTGAGCGATCGAGAGCACATAATGGTGTGATACCTGCAGTGTGGAATAGAAGTCGAACCCTTCCCAGTAATCATTGATGGAAAATTTAGTCTCCGTGCGTCTGTCCCCCGAATAATATCGACTGTGCAAACAGACCAGACCAAGAACACACATCTCCATCGATCACATGAGTATGTGATTGAATGTCGGTCTGACTCACCAGTTGCATGGCGTGGGAAGCGAGGCTTTGTCGGGAGCGATGCGTCTGCTGCCCAGCGGTGGGTACGTGCGCACGATGCAATGTCTCGCACCGGGGAGAGACCCACACACTGATGAGGCCCTACTCATTTGGATGACGATATAAATGAAGAGAGACCATATGAGGAGAGACCATGCGCACAACAGCGGAAACAGGACAAACCTCTCGTACCTACATATGGGGGGAGAAACGCATGCATGACGCCTTTTTCACTGGGGGTAGCCTCTTTACTCACCAGCGGATCCGCTCACTGCCTCGCAGGCCGGATGGGCTCTTCGCAAAAGACATTGACGCAAAAGACATCAAAAGACTCAGCGCACGAGTGCCCTTCATGAAGAATGATGGTTCTCCTCTACTGCACGCACACGAAAGAGGCCCTACAGTCCGCTCTGGCCAGCCAGCTAACTGCATATCTACCTGTCATCTTCATTGGCGTTCTCCGGAGACGCAGGAATAGGCTTTTCACCGTCCAGCGCACCTCCTTTGGACTCCACCCCGTGTGTCTTGAAGGCGACTGCCGTGTCGCTTGACCGCCTCAGTGCCTCAGGCGACACCGACAGTCTGTGTCTCCGCTTTTCAACGATCAGATTCGTCAGCTGAGGGCAGGATATGCTCCTTTGGTGGTGGCGGGCACCGCAAGCAGCGGGAAGGACACCATCATCAGTTCTGACGGCCAGCGTCGCCGGCGCCGAGATGTCGCGTTTGACAAGGGGTCTCTGTGCTGATTGTTGCTGGTCTTCGATGAACATGACGCCCTTCTTCGTCTCGGACGTTGAGACAGTGGCGGTCTCCACTATCGCCACGACTGAGCTTAGCGGCCGGTCGTTGTCTACCGCCGTCAGCTGCTTTCGCCTCCCGCAGCAGCAGATCCACTTGGAGAGAAATTGGTGCATAGTCGGTCTGCGCAACCTCATCAACTCGATCGTGTCGGCCACACTCGTCAGAAAGATGCTCTCGCGCCTCCGATGCTGCTTTCTCTTCTGATTGCGGAAAACCAAAAAGGCACGCACCGTGAGGATTGAGCACAGTTTTCCTAATTTCCACCAGACGGAGAATAATGGCATGAAAGTCACAAGCAGCAGCAGGAATGATCCCTCAGTCTTCATGTGCAGGATGCTGCCCCAGGAGCCTCCACTAGTGAAGTGGCGGCTGACGTCGGCGGGGATGGCGTCGATGGCGACCGCGTGAATCGTGTAGACGAGGCTGAAACACATCGAGCTGAGAGTGGCGATGACCCGGCGCCTTAGCGCCAAGATGACCGCAGCAACCGCGGAGTGCAGAGCGATCATGAAGGACAGCGACGACTGGGCGAACCAATTACCTGTGTGCGCCCAGTGGACGACCTCCTCACCTTGTGTGTGGTCTGACGTTCGTGTCTCACCTACCAGCTGGGACCTCGTCACGGTAGACGGCGTCATAGCCACCCAGGAGCAGGCACTTATACAGCTGAAGCACCAGAATGAACACTTCTGCACACATGCATCCAGGCAACAGCCAATCAGCAAGCTGAAAAGGCGTGTCGCGTCCTCGAGGCGTACCATTCAGGAAATATATGTGGAAAAACAGTTTCCCTGTTTGGCCGAGCATTCTGACACAACACGAGGGCGATCATGCATTGACGAGTGCAGGCAGTCTCTCGTTTCTGCTCGCTTAAACGTGAACCAGAAGATATCAAAATGCCACTTTAGCCGGCGCATGCGATTGATTTGGAAGTCGTGTGCTGATGACGTCGGCGTCGTGTCATTGTTGATCTCGCTGTGCGATCGGTATCTGTTGTGCAACCGAATCAGAGACCGCCACTGCCTGTTGAGCTTGTAGGTCTTGATGCGCTTCGCGACCGCTCTCCGGATCACCATGCGCCAGAAGAGAGACTTTGAGACGAAGGTATGGATGAAAGCGCATGCCAGCAGTGTCCAGATCGTCGTTCGGAAAGCCCTGCCCGCGCCAGGCTGTGACCATCTGACGACGCAGACATTCGTAAGATCTATCCATCGTACCGTCTCACTGGTACTTGTAGTTCAGGGCGCTATTGTAGTGCTCTCTGAGGTATTGCTGCACGAATAGATGGAAGTGAATGATGGAGTTGTGTACACAGAGAAAGACAACGCCTGGTTGCTTGGTTGCTTACCTGCATATCAGTGTCGTGAAACAGGCCATCCCCGTCATATAGCGGCGGCAGATTCTCGTCCAGCTGCTCAGCAACGGCTTGGCACAGTGACGAAAGGATGCCCGCACAGAGGAAGAACCAGCTGCAAATGAGGGCGGGCGTGACGATATGCGAGAAGGTACACGACTGCAGCTCCGCGACACAATCACTGGCTGATTGGCTCCGGCCGGTCGCTTCTGAGATGCTGCTTCTCACAGTGTCATCGCGGCGGATCCCTCTAAGGTCAGTGAAGCGCAAGAGACTGCCGAAGCCCCGAGAGGTCCTGAGCCAGTCAAGGCTGATGGCGGAGGAACGGGCACTAGAGCGGGCAGCGCCAAAGATGCGTTCACTCTTCCTCGACAGCGGCCCGTCGCCTATGATCTCGTGTTGCTCTTGTTCTTTGTCGATGGCGGCCGCTTGGGGCGTTGCATCATCGAGAGCATCAGGGATCTCTTCCTGCGGGCGCAGACAAATACATGCAAGGATACATGAGATCGTGAAAGGTTGTCAGAGGAGGGAGATGGCTTACAGAATGCTCCGATGTCTGCTCGAGCCTGAGCAGATCCGCCTCCTGCACAAGTACTACATGAGTCACATGCATATGATTTGTGGCGTGGATGTGTACCATCTTCTGCTGGACAAAGCAGCTGAGTCTCCTCGCTGCAGACATCTCGCTCGTGGAACATGATCGCCTTTCCGGTCGAGGGGCGGGGGGAAAGAGGGGGGAGAGAGGGAGTGGGGGGATCGGGGAGCTTGGTAGGCGGTCCGCGGCGGAACACCGAGAAGGGGGGAAAGGGCGTCTCGAGACTTGGGGGCTCGGTGGGGGCGCGCACACGGTCTGCCCTTTGGGTGGATATCTCTTCTGTGTGGCCACTACGACATTAACAAGCTGCTTGGCGCTGCCTCCTTCTGCTGGAACTTTCGTGCCAGATTGCAACCCCAGGACGCTTGGGACACGTCAACGGTACGAGTGAAGGGCTGCCCTCATGTGCATTCTTACGTGTCCCGTCTTCACGGCAGGCAATTTATTTGGCTGCGATTGATCCCCCTGCTGCACATCCGTCCATGTCGGACCCCCCTGCGCCCTGCCCTCTTGAGGAGGGCGTGAGACTGCCCCAAGTGGATGGGGACGACCCGTGCCTTACCATATCTGAGCATCTGTCTCTCTCACCGCAGCCCACCCTCTCCTTTAGTCACCCGCAAAGCGGACAACGACACCTTGACCTCAACGGCGAGACGAAGGCTGAGGGGAATGACGAAGTGACACGAGAGACACTGACTTCAATCGACACAGGCGCAACACGAAGACAGCCGACCACGGCAGATGACCAGAGTAAGGAGGGTGGCAACGAGGATGATGCAGAGGATGGCCGTGTCTTGCAACCTGAGGAGCAAGCCCTTGCGGCGCTGGCTGCAGAGTTTCGAAAGGCAGCAGGCTATGCGGCCGCCTACGAGGAGAACTAGACAACGCTCACGTACAGGGCGATTGCCACTCGATGGCAGGAGGAAATCGATCCTCGTGGGCGCACAATTCGACCCTGGGCCCCTTTCGGTCACTATCTGGAGGGTCATCAAAGTCATCTTCGGAGAGCTAATGACGGCTCTCAAGCTGGCTTTCGTGTTCGTCCTCTACGTGGTCGGTCTGGGCAGAATCTGCCGGTCCAAGACGATGGGGCCAGCCTTCGACATCATCAAACGGGTCATTGCATATTTAGCGCTCTTCTTATTCTTCCTTCACCTTACGGATGGACTCAACATTATGTCCAGGGCTAAGAAGTGCTGGTGGATGGCAGCTGCTCCACTAATCTTCAGCACTTTGCTTCGTGTCAGCTATCATGCTAAGTGGGACATCCCACTGTTGCAGAAAGTGCTTATTGCCCTGGAACTGATTACTGTGATTCTGTGGCCGTACGCACACTTCCGCGCTGCTGCTGAGTCGCTGGGGGTCAGACGTAAATGGCGCTACGCAATTTCTGCGGGCACGGTCTGTGCGCTAGGCATATTAGCTGTGGGTGGGCTTGTCTCTTTCTTCCCTTACGCCATGTAAGCAAGTTTGATCCCATACCCTTGAGAGAGACCTTCTGTGATCCGGACCCGTTTGCAGAGTGCCGGCGCCGACAGACGAGGCAAAGACCCAGCTGGCGCTCACTTTGGTTGCCATCCTCTGGCCATTGGTGTCGTTGATCAACAAACTCGCCCGATCGATGAAGGCAAGATACCACTGAAGAGCTCTGAATCGATTGTCACTCATCTGCAGGACGGCCCACCAACTCTCAAGTAATCTTCGCTCACAGTCACATAATCGGCCTCCCCAGACGCGTGTGGGCGCGCGTTCAGAATGCTTGTTGTCTTTTTCTCTCAGCGCTCATCTGCCTATTCCAATTGCGTTCGTCTTCGTAATTCTTCCAAGATTGCTACAGGTGCGTTGTGCTCCGAAGGATCTGATTTGAAGCCCATGAATGTCAGTTGAAACTGTCCCGAGAATCTTCCCTCGATTGTTACAGGCCAAGATGGAGAGCATATCAGCAAAGCTCGTTTGGTCCGTGTTGATCTCACTGTAAGCGGCCCGGCCACAGAGGATGAAACGCTCTCTTCTTGTTTCTCCGCCACACAATCGGCTGGCTGCCTACTTTCCTTTTGACAGCATGGACCTGTTGAGTGATTTGTCTATGCCATTCTGTATGTGAGCTGTTCACAGATGAACACCTTCGATCCTTCCCGTGAATCCTCCCCTTTTTTCGTTTCTTGTGCACCGCAGGGATACTTTTGTATATATCCGCTCGAAGATTCCTGAGAGACAGGAGGCAAAAGGCGAGGCGGCCTTGCTCCAACAATAGCATCAATGCCCCCTCGGCTGACGAAAGTACGAGAATCGACCAACTGTCCACTCACGAGGACCAGAACGCATCGAGACACGAGTATGAGAGCATGAAGTCCAGTCAACAACCGTTGAGACGGCAAAGCAGTCTAATGGACAGAGCTCTCGCGTATATTAGCGCCGCTCCATCTCGGCGCACAATTAATCTGCAGGCTGCTCTGGCATCGCTCGACGTGTTGCCACGTTATTTGCGGGCCCTTTCGGTTGGTGACGACGCTATCTCTTTCTTAAACATCCGTCGGTCTGCTTGCTTTCCTCCATCCGTCTTCAGGACCAAATTAAGGTGTGGTCGCTTACAGAGGTTACAGCGTTGCTCTCAACACACTTAATCGTCTTGGTCGCGAGTCTGTCTGCGTACGGTGAGTCAGCAGTTGGCGGCTTCTTGCAGGGCGTTGCCGTCCTCGCTTTCCTCGTTTTCGTCGAATGCCTGTTCGAGACGGTGCTCTTTGTCGTGTTGGTGAGATGGTGGAATTTGCCGATGGTGCGGGGGGAACGCGAGAGCGGTAGCCACTGGTGCAGGTGCCTCATGAGTGCATGGGTTGGCATCAATTGGTGAGCGAGCACCCTGTGAGGCGCCACTATGCTGATTCTTGCATATCATAATGTCGCACATGAGGCCATGCGAATACGTCCGATGTATCATCGTGTCCACCGTTCATATATCTCCCTATCCGTCGCATCGCGTACGAGTCACAGTGCCATTCGACGATTGATTCGTTCATTCCTTTCAAAGGCCCTGCCACTGAGATAGAAAGCCAAATCGAAAGACATACATTGATGGGGTCTTTCTCTCCCTGCTGTTGTCTTCAGGACACTGTTTCGGGACAACTTCGGGAGGTTCTCGCCTTGAAACAGCTGCAACCCTGAGCCATTAGGGAAGGTGCAGAGATGCTTTGATGAGAAGGGGGAGGACCAAAATGCAGAGAAAAACGCACTGACCAACGTGGCCACTGGCTGGTTTCATGGAGGTCATAAAGGCTTTTGCCGCTTTTCACGCTCGCTGCTGTTGCGGGACGAGCGCAAGGACAGCACCGATCTTTCGTTAATCTCTCGGAAGGCTCAGTAGCCGGGTTCACAGACGCGCACCCTGGCCACGGCTGGTTACAAAGACACGACCTCGTTTGTCGAGACAATTTTGCAGCTGCGACAAGCGGTATGGAATCCACCTTCAGAGGGTGCATGATGACGTGGTGTAGTTTGTTTTGGCTTCACAACTCTAGATCGGGAGAAATGTCCCGCCGCTCCAGGACCGACGGTTGGAGGCAACGGCAGGGGAATGAATTTCTCTGAATGGATTTTTTGGCACCTTAAAAAGTCAGGATGAGTTCTTCCTGACAAGGAGCACGCGACTCTATGTAAGCTTCTTCCTCAAACGCCGGGAGAAACCTCGGACGATTGACAAGCCGGGGATTTGATGAAAACATATATATATATATATATATTATCTGGATTGTTTCAGGCGATATAAATGGCCCAGGGGGATCAAGCATTACAAATCCAGATAGACACGCGCGGCGCGCCTCGGAATCGGGGGGTATGGGGCTGGTCGGCCAGAAGAGAAAGGTTTAAGGAGGGAGGTCGCCCTAAACGGAGGAGCCGCCGGGGGCTGCGCAGAGGAAAGCGCATACCACTCTGCACTGATCCACCACGAATCATGAGGCAATTTTTGGAACTGTTTTGAGGTTTCTGACGAACCCGACATTCTGAAGTTCTTGGCAAGGAAGGAGCGAGTCTTGACTGTTGCTCTTTGCTTCTTGGCGTCATCGACCATGCACTTTGGGGCCTTCTGTGTCATCACTTCCGCCCTAATCGCCGCTTTGCAATGCGCGGCGTCAGGGAGGATGCCCACCACGGCGCTGCAGCACGACGGTGCAACAGGTGCGATCGCTGACGTCACGCCAGTATGGACGTGCGTGTAGTACACTGCTGGATGGCAATTGATTCTGCAATGACTGACAGGTGCGACTCACGCACGTCTCCATCTCCGACAGCCAGTGAGTGAGCTCAGTGTCGAGATGGTTCACCAGGTACTCAAGCGGCCTGCAGATATTCCTCTTGAAAAACTGCCATGTCTTTGGTGTATTGGCCTGTGTATGTATAGGCGCACAAGTTACTGAAACTCTTCCCCGCCGCCCAGAAGGCGAGCCGTGGGAAATTCGACACGGCCACTCGAATGGGCAGGAGGTTGGACAAAATATCCGAAGCCAAGAAAGACTTGGTGAAGAAGGCCGAGGACGCCGCGGGAATAAAGGACGTGATAAAGAATCCCTCCCTGCCGCGAGGCAGGTTGGTTTCGAAGGAAGACTTTCCGGTGCTCGGTCGGAAGGGGCTCGCAAAACATCTTAGAGACGAGCACGAACAGCTCTTTCTCATGAAGAAAGGTAGTGGATGGATTGACATTAATGGATGGGCTGAATGCACGCACAAATAGTCTACCCGCCTTTATCTATCTCCTCCTTTCGTCCCTCGGGTTGTGTCTCTGTTGTGTGATTGCGTGGCGGCTGTTGCAGAGCACAAAGGAAGGCTTTACGTACGCGAAAACACACACGTGCTGCAATTCCACCCTCTACTGTCCGTTCCATTGTGTGATCGATGTCTGCTGGCTGGCTGCAGGCCATTATGCGAAGAAAGCTTTTGGACATCCATGGTGGCCTTTGGAAGACAGAGGTCGACAAAATCACCGAAAACCAACAAGACGCCGAAGGCACCCTCATGGCTGCCGAGCTCGCGGCCACCATCCACCAGATGCTGCTGCCCTCAGAGCCATCCCTGACGGTGTCGCTGAATACGGTGTCTCGATACAGAGACCTCAGGCCCTTCGTCAAAGGCTGGCTCGAGACGTCTTCCATCTTTCCATCACAGGGGGCGGCTGTGGTGCCACCTACAACACACACACAGCCGCCCCCCCCAACAGCAATGAAGTTCGCCATCTCGGCACTCCTCTCGGGATTCAGGGAGAGCTGCAACCGCAATGACAGTGAGCAAACAGGCAGACAGGGAGTCTGAGAGACAAGTGCACGTATGTATGGTGCACACACGCTCGGTGGATGTGTTTCGTTGTATGCAGTGCTCGTGGAGGGCTCGACGTTCTACACCGACCTGGCGACCTCCCTTTATCTGGCCACAATGGTCCCCCGAGACTCACTCCACCAAACCAAAATACCCATCATCTGCCCGCGTGACGTGTGGAAGGCCTTCGTGCAAGAGAAGGGGACGGCTGGAAAGGGTGGACTGCAGGACTTCACATCCCATCACATGGACTTCGTGGCCTGGTTGCTGGGCGGCAAGGAGAAAAACGAGACAATTGAGCACTGGGCGGATGGGCTGGAGGATGACCTTGCCAGCGGGATGGGACACCCACTGACCGACGAGGACCTGCAGAAGCTGGAGAATCTCGAAGAGCCGGAATGAAGAACTAAGCAGAGACAGACTCTGAGGGAATGCATGGCAAAGGATTTCGACAGTAGACAATCCATTATGGCCTGGATTCAGTCATCCACACGATTCAGTCATGATGCGGGACACCACCGTGTGTGTGTCGTGAGTAGGGGAGCTTGATGTGATGAAGGCCTGCCTGTCGAGGGCTGACTGAGAAAAGCGGTTTTCATCTATGTCTCTGCATGGACTCTGTCGCATGAGTTTCGAATAAGTTGCTGAGGTCATTCCCTCCCTCCCTCCGTCCCTCCCTCCCTCCCTCCCCCCACCCCCCTCTACCCCCCCTATTCAAATATCTCTCTCTTTCCCCTTCCTTCCCTCTACGTAACTATCAGTCTCTCACCCTGTAACCAACCGTCCATCCACTCCACACTTGTCCATCAGCCACCCAGCCAGCCAGGCACCCAGACTGTGTTTGCCCCACCCCCACCCCAGACCCAGCCGGATACCCATCTGGTCCTGCATGTACATGTAGGACAGACAGACAGACTGACAGACAGACAGGGAGGTGTTTGATGTTTGTGTGTCTGGATGCGTGCGTACAGCATACATACTACCTGGATCTGTTCGGGGCAGGATCTGGTATAGTGCTCCTCCAAGACGCGGCCAGTGAACACACACAAACGACAAGCGCTCACTCAGTACCAACCCATTCACCCACCCCGTCCGTAGTACTCCGTACACACACATAATTGTATACGTACTTACGTACCTTCTCCATGACACGGCCAACCCCCCGCAGCCCTTTGAGGTCGCTCTCCTCGATCGCCCTCGCCAGCTGTCGAGTGGTCAGCGAATCGAGGGGGCGGGTGGGGGTGCGGGGTCTTGGTGAGGACGGTGGGGAGGGGTCATGTCGCGCACGGTTCTCTAGAAGGCGAAGGACACAAACGCCTGCGTGCCGGTGACCGATTTTGGGAATAGTCGACTTCCAGCTGCATCCATCCACCCACACACCAAAGGCACATGCCAGCATATGTATGTACGGAGCACGGCATCTTTCCCGATGTTTGTGTTTCGCGAGTGATTGCGCCGCATACCAGCTTGAAATTAATGAGCAACGGCCAGCAGACCCTCCAGGCGAAGACACATCATTTCCATCCTCGTCGTCTGCGGCAAAAACAGAGGTGGCGACGAGACGAGGAGACGAGGAAGACCTTCACTCCTGTTGTACCTGTGGTTGAAGACGTACCGAGTCGCCGCCTCGTGCCGACTGGGGCGCTCGCCTGACGCCCAGCGCACGAGGGGAAAACGGTGAGAAGTGGTCGCCGCGGGAGGACAATCCGACCAAAGAGCTAGAATTAGAAATTACTGTAGCAGAAAAAGTCTCGTGAGAGAAAGTCCTGCGAATTTACAGACAGTGTACGGGATCCCTGACTCGGGAGCAACAAACTGCTGCCAACCAGGCAGCCCGCATGACAAGATGATCGGTGCGAGGCTTCTGCTGGTGCCCCTGCTGTCTGCTGTTTGCCTGGTGAGCGGCGGTTGTCTCGATAGAGACCCTGACGAATGGCCCGTCAACGACATCAAAGACCTGCGGAAGAGAAAGCAGGCCGACCTGGACAGCATCTTCATCAGAGGCAAGCAGAAAATGCATGGGATTCAGCTCACGGCCAAGACAGATGCAGTGAGTCACGCTTGTGTGTCTGCTGACTGACACAGGGTGTGTTGAGGACGAGCCAATAATGGTGCGAATGCTCATGCCGAAGGAAGACGAATTCGTTCGCTCTGCGTCTGTCATCTCTTGTGCGTGCGTTTTGTTGTGTCCTGCACACATCACATGGCCTGCAGGGTCCCACTTATGGGGAGGTCGTCGCAGCCAATTTGATCGAGCCGCTGTCCTCGCTTTATGCCCAGCTGTTTGGCCTCGTCTGGGAGGGCTCCTTCATGCAGAAAACAAACTGCAAGGGGAAAGACCTCTTCTTCTACTTCATCCTGCTCAACCCTCTCGATGGGGCAAACGTAATTAAGTTGCTCTGATCATGTGTTCGTATGATGCTCTTGCTGCCGCCGTCTTTGTCTGTCTGCATGTGGGTCCTTTGCAGATCTTGAAGAGTCAGTTCACTTGGTTCACCGCTAAGGCGACTGTCGGCCTGCTGCCAGACAAAGCGCAGCGGCTGGACGACAAGCCTGTGTACCTCTTCGACTACAGCATCTCTCAACAGGACTGCCCAGACGAAGTCTCCCCTTGGGGCAGACAAGTGCGTCAAATGACACGAATGACACAACACGCGCGAACAGATGCAAACAAGACGCTCTGCCCTGTATGTCTGCAGAAGTATCCATTTGACAACCCGCCGATACTCAAGGGCGTGATCGACGAGGCGAGAATCGTTGGTGTCGACGAGGAGAAGAGGCCGATCCAGCTGCAGCGAGTGTTCATACAAGTCCTGCCGGGGGTGTACAAACTCTGGGAGTACGCCGCGCTGCTGAGCAATCCGGTCTCTTCAGGCCAATAAATAGATGGACGGCTCGCTGTGCTGTGGTGAATGAAGAGGCATTCATTGTCCAGTGCTGATGTTCATGGTTGGAAGGACAAGGCAATGAGCCGGTGCGTGGATCCATGTGTCTGTCGGCTGGGGGCATGCATTGCATGCGAATGGCTTCAAAGAGAACTTGAAGGAAGGCCGCCACAATTCGTGACTGCATTTGCCTTGTAGAGTAGTCTCCGTGTGTTGTGGTGCACAGTGCTGGTAGGGTTGTGCTTATGGCGGGCCTGTGTTATGTATGCTGCCTTGATCAGTCTGAGACATAATACATGTGCGTGTGCTGAATGAATGAATGAATGAATGTCGGCGGCGTACAGGAAATGGCAAGGGGACGGATTGAGTTTAGGTGGGTCGCACAATCACCTGCACATATTTTCATCTCTTTTTCATTCATCACATATGTTCGCACAGAAAAATACACGCCATACGTACCACACACAGCTTCACAGTGGCGACTTTCGTCGCAAAAATGCAAAAATAAACACAACAGCAAGGCGGCAAGCTGATCCAAGCACCCATTTTGTTCGTCCTTCCGTTGGAAAAAAAGGGAAAAAGATGCGTTTCGCTCCCCGCCCTTACCCGTTTTGCCACTAATGCGAAGTAGGGCTTGCCTGCTGCTCTTTCTGCCTTTGACAGCATCATGTTTCTCGCTAATGAAGACCCATCCACATTGGCGAGAAAGCACGAAGCCGCCACGGCTTCAACAGACGCACACGTGAGGGATGTTGACTCACTTATGCAGAGATCTACACTTCCACATGCACTTCCACATGCAAAGATCTTCCTCTGTGTGCTTGTGTATCCTCTCTCTTCATTTGTTCGTGCAGCCGTCCCCGAGCGATGATTCCGCCCCAGGTTGTGACTTCACTGGGCGTCAACAGCGGACTGGCAGGGGTGTTGGCGGCCATCAAACAGGACGTGCTCACTAGTGCTGGTACGCACCAAACAGACACCATCAGAAGCACGATCAGTCCATTCTTCATCTGCCACTGATGACACTGTGGATGAGTGAATTGCTTGCAGGTCTGTTCAATGCCTATCTGCTGGGCGTCTGCCTGTGGTCAACACTTGGTGCGTTTTAGGCGTCAGTACGCACATGTGGAGGGACACGCAATGATGCTTCTTTGCGTCCCTCCCTTCTGAACAGGATGGCAGGGATGGTGCAGCGGTGTCCTGTATCTTGTGGGCGGCAGCGCAGCGACCAAACTCAAGTGTGTACGCCACGAGGCTTCCGACGCGTTCGTGTATACACGTATGTCTTTGCTATTGGGTTTATGTCCAGGAAGCGCGAGAAGGAGAAGATGGGAATTGCAGAGAAGAGAGGTGGAGCGAGGGAACCTGCGCAGGTACGTACGCGGCGCGCACTATAGATGGCTCTGTCTGCAATACGCATTTGGTTGGTATGTTCGTTCAGGTGTGGGGTTCAGCAGCGACGGCGGCCTTTCTGGCCACTCTGACCATCCCCCTGCAAGGCGACCAGGCGATAATCGACCTGCTTAAGCTCGGGTGAGAACAGCAGACCGTATACATGCACTCCAAATCGCGTATGCGTGAATGTATGTGCGAATGTACGCAGGGTAGTCGCTTCCTTTGCAACCAAGCTCTCCGATACGTGTGCCTCGGTGCGTTCCGGCATACACGCATTCCTGACGAACCTGTATGCATGCTCTGCTGTCTGGTTGTGTTGCTCTGCATGCAGGAGATAGGCAAAGGCTTCGGCCGCAATACCTATCTCGCCACAACCTTCACGTCCGTGCCGCCCGGCACAGAAGGAGCGGTATGTAGAGATGCAGGCACATCGATGTGTAGCGCATGCATGAACGGATCCACGTCTGCTTCAGGTGAGCCTGGAAGGCACTCTGGCCGGCATATTCGGCTCCTTCGTGCAAGCTGCTTTCGGTGCTGCTGCTGGGCTCATCACTGTCAAGGTAATGTGTGTGCAGCGTATGCATGTGTTCGTGTGCACGTGCATGGATGCCTCTCTGCGTGTCTGTCGTGTAGGCCATCCCTGTGTGTATGCTGGCTGCTTTCCTTGCTAACTACGTGGAAAGCATCATCGGGGCGACAGCACAAGACAAGGTGCGGACACAAAATACCCTCACTTCATCCGCTTGAAGGCAGCGTCCGTGTGTTTTCATTCGTTCACTCATAATTATATAGGTTCCCTGGCTAAACAATGAGATGGTCAATTTGCTCAACACGGCAATAGGGGCCGCCATCGCCATGGCAATCATGTCTTTCACGAACAAATAAGGACAAGCTGTAGCCGTGACCGTTTGTGTCGTGTATTTTTGGTCCTTGCTCTCCTTTGTTGTGTATACGAGTTTTTTCCGTCGTGTACGTTTATGTGTGAATTCATCCACATCCCACTCAGTGCGATCCTTACACAGCAGCCCAGACGGACGCGAGAGAGAAAACAGTCGTGTACATACATGGACACGGACTGCCCGTTAGTCAGACCCCCTGTGTGTCATTTGAGCCAATGGAAGATGTGCGCCTGGGAGTTGAGAACAGACCCAACACCGAGGAGGCAACGCCCTGCATACACATATATATGCACGCAAACATGCAGACACGAGTCGACATCTGATCGCATCCACCGTTACCCGTATAGTGTCCATCAGCCCGCCACCGCTGCTACCGCTGCTGCTCTCCCTGTCTGCATGCGCCCGTCTCTCCGTCACGGCGCCTCTCGACTGATGACGCCACGAAAGCGCTGCACCACCACCGGGCATCATTCCATGCGCGAAACATTTCTTTTGAGTGTGCTTTGTAGGTACGTGCTGCGTAAGAGTCATTTGCAATGGCGAGAGAGTCCTCAAAGGACATCAACAGCTGCACAAACACAAACACAAGCAGAGTGAGCATGAAGGATGCGTACGCTCTCACGTCAGAAGCGACCGACCAGCGCTGTCTGCTCTCTTTTGTTAATCTTAGCGACATCTGCCGGTCGGTGCCCATTCGCATCACACACCAGCAGGGAGGGCGGCGAACCTGACACACGCACACAAACAAGCAAATGAAGAAACCTAAGTGTATTCCCGTGTGCATCCACTGTCTCTCTTTCTGTGCACCATGTAGCAGCAGCAGCCTGATGCAGTCGATCTGTCCCCACTGTGCGGCCTCGTGCAGAGCGGTCTGCCCATACACGTTGGTCACGTCAACTCGCACTCCCTGACAACACACCTCAGACACCACACATGCGTGAATCGTTCCTCCATCACTGTGTGCCTCTCCCTTTTCTCTGCTTACCCAGTCCAGCAAGAGGCGCGTTATTTGCGCGTAGCCGTATCTGTCACGCACGTGGGTCGTGAAGCATGTAATTGCCTCACTTGTACGGGCAATGCTAATCTGTGCGCACCTGCATGCATAGAAAATGGGCGTGGCTCCCTCCTCGTCTCGTGTCTCGATGCTCACGCGACGGTCCAGCAGAAACAAGACTGCAAACACACATACATGCGGAGCATGTCTCTATTTGTTACACACATCAGCCACGGCTCACCAGCAGTGAATGCTCCCCCAGCACACGCGTAGTGCAAAGCCGTGCGGCTGCGCGGATCACACACACTGAGATCGCCGCCAACCTAGGAGACGCACGAGACACATATGGAGAACGTATCCATAGGATCATGCGAGTATGCGTGCCTACCTCGCTGTATAGCTGCAGGAAAAGTGTGTTGCCGTCGAGTGCCGCCTGGAAAATGTTTGTAGTATGCGTCGGATCCTTCCACAAAGACACGCCTGTTTGTGCATACACCAAGAGTGAGACATCTGGTGTTGCGTGTATACAAGTGTCTGTATGTGTGGACGTACCCAGTGTCGCGTTGTGGAAGAATCTCTCGCCTCCTTCCCCCATTACCGGCACCCATTCGCCCATCTGAGAATGCATACGTTTACGCATTTAGATGTGTACGCAAAGAGACACACATTCATCTGTATGTGTGCCCGTACGTATGTATCTATGTATGTATGTATGTACGTACGCATGCATGTGTGTGCGTACGCGTCTACTGAGCTGAATGCCCGTACCACTCTTTTCATCTCTTCTGGCTGTGTCCATTGCGAGGCGCCCTTCTGCGAATTGTGATAAAACAGTCTGCATGCACACAAGCATCCACAGAGTGGAATGAATGAATGAAAACGAATGATCACACATGGATGCCTGTCTCTGTGTGGTTGTCACCTGCCCTCCTGTGAGGCCACCACCAGCCAGCCATCATACACAACGCGGTCCCTCTCACATTGCTTGTCCTCCCTGCACGATACGCGCACGCTCAAATGTATACCTGTCTCCATGTGCCATGTGCATAGCCACCTGATCCAAGCCGATGTCGTCTGCATCGCAATCTCTCTCTCAGTCTGTGTCGCAATCTCAGTCACACACCTGGGAGGTCAGTGCACGTGCGCGTAAGTCTTACAAACTGCATCCACACACATGGTGTACTTCGCGTCTGTCGGTGAAGCAATGGCGGCGTCTTCTGTGAAGAAAGGGTCCGACCAGCCCGCCCACTCGTCGTGCGGATCGTTTCCCGCATCCTGCGCCCGCTTGTGCCTGATTCGTCCGCTCTGCTCCTCATCTATATCAGTCGATATATCGAAATGCTGAGCAACGCAGACCTGTACACAGCATCATGCACGTTTATGTATGCGAGAGCATACGCAGGCTGTCTCGGATGGATTTGCGTACTTGTGGTGAGGGCGACGTATCATGCTCTTCCCCTGGCCCAGCCCCTGGCCCTGCACATTTGTGTAACGTACACAATCAAACAAGCGCTTCTCGTGGTGTACATTTGCTCTCTGGCAACGCATGGGGTGAGGATGATAAGAGGAAGTCGCTCATCGACGCCTGAAGCACATTTCTTTGCGACTGAACGAATGTTTCCTATGTCCGCAGACGTACGTCGGGATCTGCCCGTGGGACAAAGATGGGGGGAGAGTCATCACTCCTGTGCTCTCTCGGATGCTTCCTGACCGACCGCGCAAAATTGCATTTCATGTATGCACACCCTCCCTGCCTGCCACAGGCTTCCACCCACCTTTCCTTATTTCTTGTCTTCTGTATCCGTCTCGCCGGTAACACCCGCTGCTCTCCCCTCCTCGCCTCAAATGCGTCAGAGTCACCATCAGACGCCGACACATCGGGCAGCGGGGCCTGCATATGCAGCACAGGCACATGGTTCTTCGCTTCCACTGAAGCACGCTTCTTTTTCACCTCTTTGTATTGGTTTTCTCTCGGCATTGGCGGGGCGCGGGGGGCCCTGCGGGAAGATCTACAGACAGACATTTGAACATGCACTGCGCAGCACACCAATTTATAGCCATCTCTCTTCGCTCGCCAACCTGATGCTGCTCTGTCTTGTCTCGTATACGCCCGCATTAGTGTGCAACCGATGCAGCAATGCGGCTACCTGTAGGCCTCCACACACAAACAGCCAGCCATGGGCAGCCACAGACAGGGAGACGGGTAGATAAACGCACTCACTTTTTCCTCGACTTGCTGCTGCTCCCTGTGGAAGTGAGAGAATTCTTCGGCAAATCCCTCGGACATGTTGGTGCGCTCTTGCTCGACCGCACGAGTCTGCCCTCTACTCCTTTCTTTTTGATTGTCCCTGCCTCGTACCGAAGGAAGTCGCTTCGCCGCTGAGCCGAGCCAAGCCCCCAGAGCCGAAGAAACTCAATCGGATGATCCGTGCAGTACCGCCGGTGTTACGAAAGTCATGCGTCTCATTGGAATAGAATTTATGATTCACCGGAAAACGGAACACGAAGGGGCAACGGCTGAGGGTCATGATTTTTCTCTAGCGCTAGAAGCCGTTGCTGGGGAAAAACTGGCGCCAAAAAATTCTTCTGTCTGTTGTGTGTGCGTGTGTGTGTCGTGTGAATGAAGGTCATTGAATGATCGACAAATGTTCGTGTGTGTTGCTGTCGATTTCCACCCCCGCTGGGCTTGGGGGGGGGGGGAACTGTCATTAACCGTAACACTCGTCTCTGTGTCCGTGATACTCATACAAATACAGTCCCATCAGCACGCAGAGTCAAACGCTCGTCCCCCGCTTGCACGCACGCGCAGATAAGAGAAACACGAAGGCATGTGCTGCGTCACGACGAGACGCAGTGTAAAACTATATGTGTCAAGAATGTAACACACGCAAATGACTGAAGAAACAGACTAAAGGGAGGCGGAAAAATAGGGACGCGCCCATTTACATGGCCCCGTATAGCAGAACACCTGAAAAAGCGCACGCACAGCCTACGTCAGCTTGTGCACTGTGGGTGCTTTCAGGTATCTAGAAATCTGTGCCTTGGCAGCCAGCCACTGGAAAATAAACACGGCAACCATCCCTCTTGCTGCCTGCCGCCCGCTCCTCCCTCTCATCTCTATCGATCACAACGCACTCGTCCCTTGCCAGCTCATCTCACTTGTGGCTGCCCGTGTGCCATCTGCCCGGCTCTCGTGAGCCTCTATCGTGTGTGCCACGTGTTGTGTGGCGTGCATGGTCTTGTAGAGCATGGCGGGCAGGCTGACGTACAGCACCTTGTCGTCCCCCCGTCCACACTGCTCTCGAACACTACCTCTGGCAACACCTCGTCAATTCCTCAGCCAGCACACCTGACAGACAGACAGACAGACAGACAGACAGAACGAGAGGTAGATCGATACTGTAAGCTTCCTTTGCACATCGGGCGAGCAGCATCACTGACCGAATTGCCATTGGCCCGCGTAAGGGACGGATCCATCCCTGTGGGTCTCATCCTCATCAGTGAGGCGCTGTTGGTGGCCCCCATCAGCACTGGAAGCCGCAGAAGTCAACCTTCTTGATGGCTGCGCGCGCCTCCCGTCCGCCCATAGAGGCCATCTTGCTGACGTGAGTCTTGTACCTGCCGTCCCTCAGCGCACCAAAGCGCTGACAGAGGATAGTGAGTCCCACACCCCAACACACCTGCACGCACATAACGAGCCATTCTCCGTGAGCTTCAGTCATGATGCAAGCAAGTGCGGTGACCTCACCGAATCTCTGCAGGAGCGTCTTGTCAGCTCTGAGGTCGGCAGCCCCAAGAAGTGGGTCATTCCCTGCACACACATGAGGCAACAGACAAAGGCAACAGACATACGCACAATCGCATGACAAGCAACACATGCATCACTTACACAGAATCGTTGGCGGACCGCATTGGATGGTGGCCTACTGCCGCGGTGGGTGGGCCTGCTATGCTGTTGTTGACGGCGGGCGTCCCGATGAGGCCCTCGTCCGTGAACGAGCACGCCACGTTGCCGCCATCGGGCCTCGAGAGATCATCGATTTTCCGCGTGTCGGCGGAAAGATTTGTGGCGATGTTGCGCCGCTGCTCGGTGCGCAGGGCAAAGCGGTGCGATGAAGACGAGAAGGCGAAAGAGCTCGGAAGCTGCAGCCAAGGGCGAGGGGGACCGTTAACGTGACGAGAGAGCGTCTGACTCGAAAAGCACACCGAGCATTTCTCCTGTGGTCTTTCCAGTCCACATGTGACCAGTATCCTCTCCATCCTCTGTGTCATGCTGAGCCCCTTTCAGCCGACCTTCGTCACGAGATGCCTCTTCGCATTTTTGCTTGCATGGCCGCCTGTTCCCTTGGCCGTCGACGCGCAGTTCGTATCCGCATGTGTGTTCAATAACAACAGATCAGCAGACAGCGTCGTGACGTCCACAAGTGCTGACTGCCTTCCCGGTTAGAGAGCGAGGGACTATAGTAGTAAAACAGTTCTGACAAAGCAGCGAATTTTTTTCCCTCCTCTGTTCTGTGTCATTGCAGACGTCCCACCCTCTGGCCTGCGGCTGTCCACGTGTGAGCCGAACCCCTTTCTGTACTTCACAGACGACCAAGGCGAAGAGAGGGCTCTCGGGCAGTGCGTGGCTGGTGGGCGAGTCACGCAACGATTCATTCAGCCATTCACCACATCTCAATTGCCACATCTGTCGCCTTCTGTGTGTCCGTCCCTTTCCTTTGCAGAGGCCAACCTGACGAGACGGCTGCAAGTTGCACAGAACAGAACCCTCGGTGCTCCCGTGAGCGCCTCTTCGAATGGACAGAGCATCCTCTGCGGTGCTGTGGATGGCCATAGTGGCTCCGCGGCGCTTTCGGAGTGCCCCCCCGAGAAGCCTTTATGCGCACGATCGAGCGACCAACGATTTTGCTTTTGCCTTAATTCTTCTGTTTTTGCCAATCAGACAGGCGAGAAGAGCCCCAATGCCCTGCCCAGTGGCCCCAAATGAGTGTGTGTGACGGTGTCTTTGCTGTGCAGGTCTGTTCGGTGAGCTCAGTCGTGAGCCTGCAGGCACCCCATCGCTGGTCCGCGGCGTCTTGCAAGGGCAGCCATCGTCTTTGTGCTTCCCGCCTTCCCTTGACCCATGCATCAACGCAGTCAATCCCTTCGCGCCCAACCTCGACTGCTACGATGCGCTGGAGGTCGTGGAGATCTCCGAGACGAGCGGCGTCGACCCTGCATCGCTCGCTATTGGCGACCACAACAACGACCCAAAGAACTTCTCACAGCTCGTGCCGGGCACTTATCTAGTGAAAGACATCAAGTCGGAGGCCTGGGTGGACTCTATTGAAAATGTGGGCGACACGGACAGCTGCATGCGCATCCAGGGAAGGGTGAAGGACTCCAATGAGGACTTCTTCATCGACCTGTCATGCGACACCACGGAGGGCGTGTCTGCCACTCTGTCGTTCGACTGCCCTGACGTTGGCCTCTGCTCGGTGCGAGAGGGCAACGAGTTCTCGCCGGCACTGGTAAGTGGGAGGCATGCCGGGATGGTGGTTGATGGGCTGGCAACGGTTGATTTCTCTGTGTGTCGATCAGCTTGTCATTCAAGGTGTGTTGAAGGTGGTCGACGCCAGCGAAGCCGAGTGCGTCGGCCTTGAGGCGCAAATTGAGCTGACAGGGTGAGCGAGAGAGACAGAGTCTGACAGACAAGGAGACGCAACAAGAAGGACATGATTGGCTGTGTCTCTGCTGTGCATGCAGCACCGGACTGGTCGATGAAGCGATATCAGCTCGAGCTCGCTTTGCCAACTACACAGCAGAGCAGCGCATCACTTTATTTGCCGAAGGAGAGGAGACGGAGCTCATCACCACACGGGGCATCGCTCTGACCAGTCCAGCCGCCAACACCCCCTTGGGCCTCCTCACCTTCCCCACCACCGTGCCCGCCGGCTGCCCTTCTTTGCTCAAGCAGCGCATCTTCACCATCACGTCGGGCGACGTGGCGGCAGGCGGAGTCATCGCGGCCACTGCATCCGGATTCAGCTACGATCAGGACGATAATGTGGTCTTGAAAGTAAGTACCTCAGCAGAAGCGAGAGAAAGCACCTTAACGAATCGCCTTTCCACTTTTGTTTGCTGTGTGCAGAGGCTGTTTGAGGTCGAGGACGGCTCTGGAGAGTCTGCCGAGAGGTTCAATCGAATCTGTCGCCTGGCGGCTGATGAGGATCGCATTCCCGCAGAGGAGGAGCGGCTTGTAGCTGAGCAAGCGGCGATTGGTGTGGACCCCTCCCGTGCTTTGGTCGGCGTCGAGGCGCCCTCACTGTGGTTTCCGCTCTTCAAGCCGGACCAAAGCCCTGCCTTCCCGCTCTTCAACGCACGCACTGTGGCACGCTATTCGGTGACGAGGCGGTTCGTTCCCGATGAGATTGCTGACGAATTCAACATCACTATCCCTGATAGAGAGCAGTCGAAGATCTTCCTGTGGAAAGCCTGGTTCGACGCGAGACCAACCGTTGGTCTCACTCTCAGCTTGGTCCAGATCTTGTGTGCCGAAAAAGTGACGGTTCTGCCGCTGACTTTCAAGTTGGAGAACTTGGAGACGGGCAGCTCTCTCGATCTCATCCTCAAGGCAGAAATGGGCTACTTGCTGCACCACGATGCAGGCGGTGAGACAGAAACCATCCATCTTGGCGCATCCAATTGTGACAGGATTCTCTCATTGATCGTGATCAGTTTATGTTGAGTGCCGAGGCCTTGAGCTGGAGACCCTCCCAGCTGGCTTCAGCGAGACCGATGTGATTCCTGTCGGCATCGAGGCTGGATCGATCGCTGCTGTTGGGGTCAATTCTGAGGTGGGAACGCTCTCAGACAACGTGTTTGTCGATGTGCTGATACAAGAGAGAAACGGGTCTACTACGTCACTGCAAGATGAGGGAGTCGTCAGCAATCTCTCTCAGTACAACTGTGTGGAAGCTATCCAGACTGAGCAGAGAGAAATCCATACGACGGTGTTGGTTTACGAGAAGCAAGACGACGGCAACCAGACCAGCGACGATATCATCTTCAACAAGACCTGCAAGGTTGGCTTTGAGTGCTTCGCGGCGTGTCCGGGGCCAAGGCTGCCCGTCGCCCCCTCAACGGGAGTGCAGCCGGGGACTTATCAGCTTTTTGATGCCACATTCCGAAACCTGACAGATTTATGGACCATCACAGACGGCGACTTCCTACCTGGTCCACTTCGTTACTCTTCTGGATGTCTCTCGATTTTCCAGGACCGTACAAGCGAAGGATGCATCGAAAACGCCTATAATCACTCCAGCTGCACGAACCATGTGGATGAGAAGGTCTACAGCTGCGAGCCCGACCAGGAGAGGGGCATTGGCGTACATGTGGAGGTTGAGTATCATTTGGCGGCACTCAATGACACTTTCACAAAGGGCTTCTGGAAACCTTCAACATTGGCAGACGTTGTAATCAAGGGAGCCGTCCGCCAAGTGGGACCCCCTCAATGTGCAGGTACATAAGTGAATGAAATGCGTAATTCCATTGGCTCATATTGTCTTTGTTGAACATATTTGCAGGCAGCATTGTCTTTGTCGAAGGTGACTGAGCATTGGGCTGCAGTATGACGCCAATGAACGACTGAGCGTGCCTCGTTGCTGTCCATGTCTTGGTGCAGGCGCTTTTCTGGTTGCGGTCGGCTTCCAGAACAGCTTTGTATCGCCATCAGAGGGCGGGCCGTCGTTTGGGGATGAAATCAACACACAGCTTTTTGATTTGGGCGACGCAGAGGGCTTTCAGCTTGGCATCCCCGAGGCTCTGCTCACCTCGAGCGTGAGACTGATGGAGATTCAGTACACTCTGCTGAGGCTTTCTGAGAAGGAAGGTGCCTCGGTTGAGCGGTGTTTCAACAGAAATAGTTCAACAACCATCTCGACCACGGATGTTGTATATGCTCCGGGATCGTCGGACGAGTACAAGGCTTACTTCTCTGCGATGGAGGTTTATCTTTCTGACACTGCTTTTGATGCGGTACATCATGCATGCCGTCGTGCACTGATTGCAAGGCATTGGCCTCTGATGCGCGTGCTCTTTATTTTTGATATATTTGCCTGTCTACAGGAGTATCGATTCCGTCCTGGACGCGAGGGTGGTGCTCCACTGTTGCACGATGATGAGCTCGGGCTCCGCTTGTATTCACAGATTGACACGAGGACTGTAAACGGTAATTTCATCCACAACGCCGCTGCATTGTTTGGACGCCTTGGCAACTTCTGCAACGAGACGAACGAAGGTGATCAAGGCAGAAGTGTCATGTCTCTGTCATTGTATATCTGCCTCATTGTATTTCTGCGTGCTTCAGTTATGATTCAGTGTCAACGTTCCCACCGGCTGCAGCTCATGGCAGATGGGGAGCCCATGGCTCTTGATGATGACCTTATCAACTCCATCGCAACTGTGGTGTCATCAAGCGCTGCCAGTGAGTATGTCATCGGCGACCTCACCGGTCCACCCACGTTTGCCTTGGCGTGTAATACCAGCGAAGCAGCGGAAATCGTTAAGCTGTCCAAGTGGACAAAGCTTGGTGTTGGTATAGTCGATGTGGATTTTGAGCAGGGGACTCAGCATTATCTGATTCGCACTGTGCCATTGAGTGTTTCCTTCACAAGATCGGATGGAGTGAAGAGGAAAGTGGAGGCTGTCTGTCCTGTGGCGATGGACTGCAGTAGGAGGGATTGTCAAGAGCGCACAAGGAAACATGAAACGAAAGGCACATCGATCTTGTGTGTGCATGTGGATGTACATCAGAGCTGCCAGAGAGGGCGCCACGGCCGTCACTTTTCGAGCCAAAAACCAACGACACGTCCACTGGCAGATCTTCTCTTGCTTCTCTTTCTCCTTCTCCTCATGCAGCTGCGGCAGCAACGCGACATGTGAGGCGGCTCATCAGATTGAGAAACCGACGGAAGCTCAAACGGAGCAGCTGGCAATCTGGCGGACAGAGGGGGCACCGAGATTGGTCTTGGACTTGAAGGGCTGCGTGTGTGTGTGTGTATGTGTATCAGTATTTCTCTTGGAAATTTGTGTCAGCATTTTTTGTCCTCAAGTGCTCTAAGACTGATGAGTTTTGCTCGGCTGACATGATTTGTATTGATATGGACTTGTCATGCGAAACGTCACTTGCACGCAGGAAAGCAACATTAGAGGCATGTCCTGCGTGCAAGCGAAATTAAGAGAGCAAATCCAGCAGATTGTGACAAGACAACTAATTGTGTCAAGAATATAAGACATGCAGGCGGCGAAAGGAACAAAACTGTGACAGAAGTGTATCCCTTTGACGTCAGGGAGGGGGAAAAATGTCGACGAGCTCTCCGTCAACGTCGATTTGTGCACCGACTCTAGGTACCGTCACCTCATAAGGCAGCGTCGCTACGCAATTGCCATCATGATGGAAAGCAATGAGTTGCTGCAGAACCAACGAGAGAAAAGACAGTAAGGTATTCGCTTTTGCATTGCATTTAATGCGCACCCATTCACAGGGCCCCGTATAGCAGAACACCTGAAAAAAGAAAAAAACACAGACACACACACACGCACGGTATTGCATTAGCGCATGTCAAGTAGTATTCACTAGCTTGCTGGCTTAAAGAAAGTGATGGCTTACATCAACAGAAAAATCTCTCTTGAAGACACTGATGTCGACTACAATAGCATCCTCGTATCTATCTGTGGTGTTATCACTGACATGTGTGCTGTTTGTCTCAATCCTGCATGAATGCATAACTCGGTCTACTCCATCACACTCTCTTCTTTTCTTACGTGGGGTCAGAGGGGTCATAAACATACAAGTCACTGTCCCCCGCGGCGAGTGAATCCAAAGCAATGATGAAATAGGGAGCAGAAAAGGGACCGGAAATGTCATTAACAGTCACAGATTCACCCTCTTCCAACGAGCCGCTGAACGGTCCCAAAAGATTACCTGACGAAGACTCACAAATACAAAGCATCGGGGGTGTACGCAGCCATATATTTCCTGCGCGTGCCTGGGCATAGTCTTGGCACACGACCCCCTGGCGGCGCTGGGGGAGGAGGGAAAAGCGGGAGGGTCTCTAGATCGATAGTCTCCTTCACGCCAAATACCTCCCCATCGACTGCTCTTAGAATGCACGCGCCGTCGTGCTCAGAAACAAGCAGCTTAAATTCACACGGCCCATCCTCACACTCAACAGATTCGACCTACAGAACGCAGAGACCGTGAGAAAGAGCAGTCAAGAAATATGAGTGCTCCTGCACCGCTGCGAGGATCCCGTCTCCTCCTTCGACATTTGCAGTCAACACCACAATGACTGACTCGTAGGTCCCAGACGTCTTGTCCGATGGAACACTAGTAGAAATCATATCCCTTGTGCTGCAGCAAGAGAAGCACAGCAGATCAGCCCGGTGAGTATTTCTTATGGTCAGCCCAAAAGGCTGCTTACTGGTTTGTATGCCAAAAGACAGCGTCGTCATCAATCCAGAGATCCTGGACATGGAGTTTGGCAGTGCCCTTCTCTCCACTGTCCAGTGCCACCACGAGGAAGTCACTGAAGTGGTCATTGTCCCATACAATCTCTGTATAATTCCAGCCTGGGAATTCCCAGTCCTCTGTCCCGTTTCTTAAGGCGTCGGTTGTTTTGAGTACGAGCGGCTCTGAAGGAAAGCACAAATACCGAATCATGCCTTGAGTGCCTCCTTGACTCGACACCTGGACAAGATCGAGCATCGTCATCCTTGTGCTTGTCTGCGTCGAATGGCGCCGTGCCTGTTCGTGGAAGGATGGAAGCGCGGAAAGAAACAAAGCACACACCATTGCTCCCCTGCTACTTCGCCAGGCTCACCTGGTCTGTCGGTCCTGTCGTTCTCAGTCAGCCTCAAGGCAGCTGCGATCCACCTCATGGCTTGGTCTATCCCTCCCTCGATGGGCCGCCAAACCCCTGGGAGGGGCTGGCAGACGGCCAGCGCCCAGCACGCTGACAGCAAGCATGACAGCAGCCGCACATTCATGGTGATTCTGGCGAAGAAAGGAGAGCCTCAGAATCCGTACACTGTAACTTAGCCGACGTGTAAACTTGCATGTCGTGTGTTGCGGAAGAGCTGAGCCGCTAAGGGACGACATCTGGCCCTCCAACCTGCTTGTCTTAGTCAGCCACTTCCCCCCGCATTGAGAATGGCCCGCGTCGCGCTCTGTCTGCCCTTCGTTGCTCCCTGCTCCTCTTTGGCGGCTCTGGCGGCCTCCGCCCTGTGTGCGGTGGTGGTGGCCTCGATGCCCGTGACCAGCAGATGCTACAGGAGCTGTTGGCCGACATCCAGAATTTGCTCGCTCGGGCCGATGAAGACCGCAGCACTTTCTTGCGTTCAGCAGATGGTCGTATTGACACGGACCACGCGAGTGTCACACACCCACCGTCTATGCGTGTGCTTGCTGTTTCCGTTATGCAGGTGACGGGTCGCCACCTAAGGCTAGCCCTAGCTCTGGCAGCTCTCGGAGAAAGTGGCCGGCGACGTGACGCACGCAAAACGGAAGGCCAAGGTGAGTCCGGGAAGACCACAACAGAGGCTGTCATGTTGGTTCAATTGTCTGCATGTGATGTCATGTAATGTGATGTGTGGCTCTCCTCGGAACACTCACTCCTCGCCACACAACGCAGCAGGGTACCTATCATCAACACCATTTATGTATGTGTATATGTATGTGCAAGGTTTGCCTCGCCTTCAGATGCGACAGCGGAGGCCTGCATCGTAATGTCCGACGACTCGGTGGCGTGCGACACCTTCAAGGACTTCTGCAATCATAAGAATGTCCGTACCGCCACACACAGGGGCCCATGGAAGCACAGCTGAATGTTTGTGTGCAGTATGACTTCGAGGACCTCAAGAAGAACGCGAAGGGACAACCCTGTTGCTGTGCGCTTTTGGGTCCCCGGCAATATCTCCCATCGCAAATCGATTGCTGCTGCGACAAGAGCGCTTTGCTCGACAGTTTCCAAGGAGCCGTGTGCAAAACTAGTAAGCCAACCAAAGGGATGACATCACACGCAGGCAGCCAGCCAGCCAGTACGATGGAGAGAATGTGGGTGGTTGGATGAATGGTTGGTTGCAGTGCATACGACGAGCGGGCCGGCCCGGAGAGAGTGGCCGGCGACGTGACGCACGCAAAACGGAAGGCCAAGGTGAGTGCGGGAAGACCAGACGGAGGCTGTTATGTTAGTTCAATTGCCTGCATGTGATGTCATGTAATGTGATGTGTGGCTCTTCCCGGAACACTTACTCGCCACACAACGCAGCAGGGTACCTATCGGTCATCAATACACAGAGCGGCACATGTATGTATGTATGTATGTGTGTGCGTGTGTTTGTCTCGCCTTCAGATGCGACAGCGGAGGCCAGCACCGTGTCCGACGACTCGGTGGCGTGTGACACCTTGAACGAGGCCTGCGATCATAAGGGGGTTCGCACCATCAGACAGGACACGATGGAAGCACAGTTGAATGTGTTGTGTGCAGTATGGCTCTGAGACCCTCATCGAGAAGTCGGAGGGACAATCCTGTTGCTGTAGTCCCGCGGGCGTCAAGAAAGGCGGCGGAATCGATTGCCGCTGCGAGAGTGCTCTGCCCGACAGTTCGGAAGGCGCCGTGTGCAAAACCTAGTAAGGCAACCAAAGGGATGACATCACACAGTGGAAAGAAGAATGTGTGTGGGTTGTGTGCGTGACAAATAATAAATGGATGGTTGGTTGGTTTCTCGCAGTGGGACCTCCACAGGAGGCCGAGACGGCAAAAGCGAATAGGCTCACCATTCATTATCCTGGTAGGCCGACACGGAACGATCTGCCATGGGTGCCCCTTCATGGCTGTCTCTTTGTCTGACACCCTGGTGCCTCTGGTGTTTGTCTCGTAGCTACTAATTGATGTTCCATCTGGTGCTGATTCTGTGGAGAAGAAGCGACCCAAACTGTCGGTCTTTGCTTTTTGTTTTGCCTTCACTTTCGTCTGTCTCTCACCTGCCGGTCTCGTCACGTGTCTGTGTGTCTGATCGCGTCGTCTTTGATGGGTGGATGGATGGATGGATGGATGGGCGCGCTGTGCGGTTGCACGTGGCGTGTGCACGCTGGTGCACTGGGCTTTCCGTGTCGACCTGACTTGTGTCTACTTTCCCTGTGTGGGGGGTGTACGGATGAGCGAAATGAGGGCGGGCGGTCCATGTGATCTGAGTGCTAGGCGCAAAATGTGTGTGCCCTCGCTCGTGAGGTGAGCGGGTCGGCGGGTGGTTCCCTGTGTGGGTGCATAAAGGAAAGCCTCTTCTCTTCTGGGTGCACGTGTCGCTGCACTGATCTATCGGCATTGGCGAGGGGGGAGGGGAAGCAAGGGTCAGGCAAGAGTGATCCAGGCCCGGTCCGCTTCGCGTGATGGCTGTTCTGTTGTATTCTCGGTAGATTGATGCATCACAAACACAGGGGGGTCGGTGTTAACGTTATCGATCGAGGCAGCCGATGGAACTAAAGTGAAGTGCACATGAGAGACACTGCTGTTGCAGCTACTTTTCGTATTCATCTTTCCGGTGTTTGGGTTGTATGTTACATGTACGACTGTGTGGGCAAGTGTCTTTGAGTTCTTCCGTAGTGCTGTGGCGATCGATCGATCGATCGGTCGATGTGTGTACATGCCATTTCGACGGTTGTACGTCGCTGTGTGGCTGTGAGTGTGTCGGCAAGTGTTTACTTTTATCAGTGTCGATAGCTTTATAATATGACAATCGATCGGTCTCGATCGAAAACGTACACCAATTTGGCTAGACAATATGCAGTCGTTGACAGAAGAGACATTGGGTGGTGTGTCGGTGAGTAGCAGATGAGAGATGAATGAATGGCAACAGGTACACAGGTTGCAATCATATGACACACACGACATGCACAGTCATATGACACAGGTTGCTGAGTGAGTGACTTTAAATTTGATCGATTTGACTGACTACAGTCCTTCGTACTTCGCACATCCCTGTTTTATCATTTGCGTAACGTTCCTTGTGGTGTGTGTGTGTGTGTGTATGTTTGACGTGTAATATGTCGGGGTGAGACTCACGCTTAATTTGCGATTGACTCACTTGGAGTCTTGCTTCGGAGATGGAGGGTCACGCACTCAACATCGGCAGGCAAATGCCACAAGAAAAATACAGCACGTCTCCTTTCTGCCCTGCTCCCTAATTTCCCATTTCCTTCGTACGCCGCACCCTAGAGTGCAGGCGACGCTGGCCATGCAGGAGCAGACGAAAAGGCACACATACAGGCACATGACAAAGACAGTCACACACATAAGGTCGCCAGAAGCAGGGAAGAGATACCGTCACGCACTCACGCATTCATCAGAACGTCAGCCACAACGATAGGCAAAGCCACACAGGTAAGGCCGCAAAGGCGAGACCCCC